TCAAATTTTATTTGAACTACTTGAGTTACTATGTTTTATGAAATAATGGCAATTAACACTTTAGAGTCAACACACTAGTTGTAAACCTGCCCATCCAGGTTTAACATACTAGTTGTAAGCTCAACCATCCAGGTCACAACTCAGGCCATCCTACTTATCTCGTGAATTGAGTGTTGTAGCCCAAAAACTTGCAGCTTTTATGTTTAGAATGTAATTTATTGATTGATTGATAACAGCATCCAATTCCCAAAAATATAAAATGTGGATATCTTGTATGGTCTGGTTTTCTTCAACTGAACCTACTCTTATGATACATATGTTTTTGCTGCAGATGCATGGAGGATTTAGTAAGCACCACCCGCTATGTCACCTGGTCCCTTCACAACAAGGTTATCATAGTTGATTATGAAGGCATATTTACATGTCTTATGCACTAATTTCAAATTGGTGTATTATGTTGCTGTAGAAAAATCTGAGAGAGAGAGAGAGAGAGAGAGGAGAGAGAGAGAGAGAGAGAGAGAGAGAGAGAGAGAGAGAGAGAGAGGGAGAGAGATGAGCAAAAATGAGAGTTTCTTTAAAAAACTTTATACTTTTTCATATTAAAAAATTTATGTTGTAGAATTTCTAGGATAAATAGATTAAACATCAAATGGTTACTTAGGATCAGATCGAATCCTTGACCTATCCTAATCCTATCTCTCCCTCCTCCCCCCCTTCTTTTTTTTTGGCATAATCCTCATTTTGTTTCTTCCCATTTTCTTTTTCTAATACGGTGGTACCCGGAATATTTAAGCCTTATAATTTTTACATTATTCATTTTGTTGCATGGGACTATCAACTGCTTTTTCAGATATATATCTATGTTTTCCGGTAAATATTTACTTGTTCTCCCTTTGACATGTCTTTTAATGCCTAATTCATAGAATCGAGCTGGGTTACGTCAATTTTTAGACTCGTTTGCTGGAACAGAACATAACACTATGGGTAGTAATTGTGTACCTGCTGGTATTTCCCAAGATTCATCCTTTGGGTCTGTTGCTAATGAGAAGGATAGTAAGTCAAAGGCAGATGTGAAGCTCAGCCATGTGGCGTCTGGCATTGATGTGGCATCGTCTATTCAGACAACAGAAACAAGGCTGGCTGATCTTCTAGATAGTACACTTTGGAATAGGAGGCTTGCTCCTTCATCTGAAAGGATTGTTTATGCTTTGGTGCAGCAGATATTTCATGGCATAAAAGAATATTTTTTGGCCTCTGCAGAGTTGAAGGTTTGTTATACAAACTGCTTGTTTATGAATGTATTTCTAGTAGTGCACTGTAATAACCATCAACTGAGTATGCGGAAGAGATAACTAGCCTGCCGTTTTATGAAGAATGATTTGTTTCTTTTATTCTAAATTAAAATATATATTGTTTATTGAGCTTCTTGGTTTTTTTCCTGCTAATAGGCCTTTTTTTGTTGTTGTTGTTGTTTCTGCAGTTCAACTGCTTTCTTCTGATGCCTGTCGTAGACAAGTTGCCTGCACTCCTTAGAGAAGATTTAAAATCTGCTTTTGAGGATGACTTGGATAATATTTTTGATATCACCAACCTGCGGCACTTATTAGGCCAGCGAAAGCGAGACGCGGAGATCGAGCTTAAAAGGGTACTTCAATCATGCCTTAATATTTTTACCCAAACTTGTCAAATGACTCTTTCTCACTGACCCAAACGTGCTCACACACAATTGTCTGACATGCTGTTGGTTTTGCAGATCAAAAGGCTAAAGGATAAGTTCAGATCACTGCATAAGCATCTTAGTTTGCATCAAGCCCATTCTACTGCCTTTTCCGACTACCGTTGAGTGTTTTGCAATTCAACATACTGATACTGAAGTCAAATTTGTTGGATGAAAAATGATTTGGTTTTTGTTTTTGGTATTGTGTTTGAGATAACTGCATATTTGTTTTGGCTTAGAGAAATCTAGTGGAGAAAAATCTTTAGATCTTTATTTGGACTAGAGGATTGTATTTAGATAACATGTCTTTCTTAATTATACAGTGAGTATGCACTTTGTTAATGGCCTAATGTTGTGGAGATTTTATTCATGTACCTATTCTAAGTCTATATGAGACATTTCTGTTTTAACGTTAGCCAAAAGAAGCAAGAACTTGGTTTGGTTGCCTTCAACTTGCTTTCTTCTTGTTTAGGTTTCCTGATGCCAACGTGTCTTATATGTGAAGTTAACCCAACGTTGCTTTCTTGTTGTTTAGGCTGACTTCAACATTGACGACACCTTTGTTAATGGCCCAACACTTACTTCAGCAAAATTAACAGACTTTCTAATGGAGTTGATGAAAATGAGCAATGTGAGACTGAAAACATTTACTCGGAGTCTTATTTATTTTTCAGTGCACTTGCTCTCTTTTGTCTTTTTTTTGTTTTTTTTGTTTTGTTTTAAGTTTGTTAAAGCTCAAAATGTTAAGAGAAACCCAAGAGTATTTAAAGCCCAATATGACATATGGATAAAGGGAAATTGGTCATGTGCTAATCCCAAATATGTTTTGGGAATTAATTCAGCAAAATAAATATGTATTGAAGTTTTTATTGAAATTCTAATAATATCCATGCCATGCGAAGTTTCATCTGATATCTCACTGTGCTCGGTCCACCACCAAGGATGCTTCATCACCTCCAATGATACATATTTCCTATGACAAATGACCTACCAAGCTCACATGAACCCAAGTCATATGGTACACGATGCTTGCATGAGAGGTTGTAGTATGGAAGGTTACAGAGGTCCACAAGGCTCATCCAAGCTCTTGAATGATAGAGATTTTGACTTTAAAGTCCAAGCCCATTACTTGGAGTTCGCCCATATGGGTAAGCAAATGAGATACTTTTTAGTGCCTCCCTATCACCTGCTCGAAGTAAGTCAATTTCATTGCTCCCTTTTACTCGTTGGAAACAAGCTGTTTCCGGCATTTCCTTTCATCCATAGGAAACAACTGGTTTAGTATGCCTCGTTTCCCCTTGGAAATAAGCATGTCTCAGTGCCCTCACCTTCTATAAATTGACAACCATGACCTAGGCAAAGACACCCCTTCTTTTGGCTGCTGCAAAACGTGTGGGTCTTTAGCTCATATGGAAAATTCCAGTAAAAGAGAAGAATCTGTGCTCAGGAGCACTCCAAGAGGCCGTAAAACACCTAGCCATTGGAAGCACAATAAAGTATTCCTCTAGGACTTGTTTGTCATTCAGGATGCTTAGTTCTTGCTAACTCAGAAAAGGGGACAACAAACACTTGATTCACCCTTCTACGGCATTTCAAAAAATCTACACGTCCAACCAAACCTTCCAACATAAAAAGGACCCCAACAAAGTAATTTAATTGTTAAAACTTACGAAGAACTCAAATGAGTGCCTTTTCTACCTTGTTTGATAATTCTTTTTTGACAAATGAAAGGAATATATTTATAATGTACTTTTATAACGGGTCAATAAATTCACACAATGGGTCAATACACCCACAATAAAGCTATGCCAATACACCCACAGTAAAGCTACACACCATAACTAGGTATTGAATATATATCATCCTCGCCATCTATATGAATCGAACTGAGACCTCCTCCAACCAACTGGATAATTAGTCCATTCTTAAGTTCACTTTATCTTCAACTATTTTGAAATTAGGTTTATCTTCAACACACTTATTTACGTTTGTCTTATATTTCCTACTTCATCTAGTTGCCTACTTTAAGCTGAGTAATGTCACATCCGCACACTCCTAAAAGAACAAAAAGTTTTGCGTTGACTCTTAAGGCTGAGAGATTTGTAGGTGAATAGGGTTTTTGTTTGGCTTTGTGTTTGTAATTTGAGGGTTAGAGAGTGAAGTGTTGTCAAATTGCCTTAAAAGAAGTATAGGTAAGTGGAAGTAGCAGTCAGCAATTACCAGAACATGAACGTTAATTGTTGTTTTTATGTGAGTGCAGGATGATCTCGATTGCCGTATTAAATTATTGGTGACTAGTATTCTAAAAGAGAAGCAAAGCCAGAAGTTTAGCTAAAGATTACAATAATTATGAACCCAAAATCATTATTGGTGTTTGGGCACACTCCAAAAGGAATGTGGGCCATATCCAACCTCAAATTGGTCCACGACCAAACCCTTATAAATGTGTGCTACGTGGATGAGAAGAGGTGCATGAGATCAGCATGAAGTGGGATGATGAAGTACACCTAATTTTTTATTTTTATTTTGTTTATACCAAAATGCAAAAATTCAATATGAATAAATACATAATTGGATGAATGTGGCACAGCCACTCACTCTTATTGCAGGCTTGCAGCTGCTTACGGTACAAACAAGTCTTTACTTTATTTATTATTATTATTATTATTATTATTATTTTTCGAGTGATACATGAAGATAAGGGCGGAACCACACTTAGACTAAGATGGCCGAGCCCAGTGCAATTTATAGAACTTTAACATTTTGATGCTAATTTTGTAAAGAAATCGATCTTAGCAAGTGAAAATTTGGCAACCCCACCCTTGTAATAATTGATTGTCTACACTCGAACATCTCTCTTATACAAAGTCATTCAACCATTCATATATATAGACACAAGTCGATTGAAAATTTCTAACTCTGCCGTTGCATAAATATGTCCTTTGGCCGCCGCCTTGCATATTGAAAGCACTTTATCATCAATCAAACCATCAACTCCACATTTCTGATGAAAACCCACCTTCTTTTTCACGTCACTCACTCACTCACTTTTTTCTTTTTCTAAACTATTTCTCTCTCTCTCTCTCTCTCTCTCTCTCTCTCTGCTTTATCGCTTAGCTATAAGTATCACCTTCAGCTAAAACTTCGTTTACACGCGAATCATCCAAAGCCTACCTATATACTCTCCTACTACGTTCTTCTTTCTTCTTCTTTGTTCTTGTTGTTTTATTTTTATTATTTGTTAGTTTTTGTTGTTTGTTTTTATGATCTTGGGTCGATCGCAATGGGAGATGACCAGTTTAAGCTCCCTCCTGGTTTTCGATTTGACCCGACGGACGAAGAGCTTGTAGTTCATTTCCTTCAACGTAAGGCAGCTCTCTTACCTTTCCATCCGGACGTCATTCCCGATCTCCATCTCTACCCATACGATCCATGGGAACTAGATGGTATGCACCTACCATATAGTCCTTCACTACTATATTAATGCTGCTAAAAAATCTCTTGGCGTTGCCTTAATTTAATTAACTTAATTATGTATTAATTTCATGATGTTTGATATTTAATTGCCGCCCTTCTATGTATATCCTATTTCCTTAGACAAACACTTGTGCACTTACATATATAACTGAAATGAGTAATCGACATACTAATACTAGTACGTACATATTGCACACATAAGTAGGGTACTATTCTCTTGTCGAACTACTTATGTTGTCAAAACAATTGTTTATTGTATGAACTGTGAATATGGACCACACATATTCAAGTAAAGTTTCACATGACAAATGGTGTACAGATTAAATCTGACAGCCTAAATCTTGGGTTGCCAAATTGTATGATAAGAGAGAATGTTTATGCATATATAAGTATCTTGATCTGTGCACTGTATGCATATATAAATGTATAGGTAAGGCTCTACGTGAGGGAAATAAGTGGTACTTCTACAGCAGGAGGACGCAGAATCGGGTTACAAGCAATGGGTATTGGAAGGCACTAGGCGTTGAGGAACCAGTGATCACAAGAAGCTCTTGTAATTCTACACACAAAGTTGGGATGAAAAGATATTTGGCTTTTTACGTAGGAGAAGCTCCAAATTCAGGCATCAAAACTAATTGGATAATGCATGAGTATCGTCTCTCTCCACTCTCAGCAGGAGATGGACCTTCTTCTTCTTCCACCACAACAAGATCATCATCCAAAAGAAGAGGGCATCTCAAAACAGTTAATAATGCATGTCTCAATCACTACTTATAATTACGTTATTAATTATTTATTTGATTTAAATAGTCATTTAACTCTATGACATGGTAGCATGCCTGGCAAGTCATGTACTTTATTTATCACGTCATCAAGTAAAATAATTGGTAGACATGACATTTTCTTACATATGCATGCCAAAAACAAAAAATAAAAAAGAAAGGAGAATGTGCATGACATAAAATAATGGAGTCTTATTGATATTTTGGTTTATAAATTTTCTCAGGAATTTAGTGGATACGTTCTCTGTCGAGTCTATGAGCGTGATGAAGATTACGACGACGATGATGGGACAGAGCTTTCATGCTTGGACGAGGTGTTCTTATCTTTGGATGACCTTGATGAAATAAGTTTGCCAAATTAATTAGCATGGAGAGAGAGAGAGAGAGAGAGAGAGAGAGGAGAGAGAGAGAGAGAGAGAGAGAGAGAGAGAGAGAGAGCTAAGTGCTCCCTTATTATGAATTAGCTTTATCCCAATTGTACAATTTCATTACTGGATTAATGTTATGAACAAATTCAAGTGGGTTTCACTTATATGTTCTACTCTAACAAAATAGGCTATGAGTATAGTTTTGAGAATTCCGATCCACACCATCCAATACATGGAGCATCCCTGGATGTTAACACAAAAACTACATGCATGTTTTACATAGATATCCACATTTCTCACCAAAATGAGACTTAGCTAGGTTTTATCCTGGCGTATGATTTGATCAATAATGTATTTAATAAATATGGGACAATACTAGGTATTCAATAGTTAATGATTGAGAGGCTCCTAAGAACTTTCAATTCTTACCTTTCTTATTGATTAAAAAATATTGATAATTATGTTCGTTCTTCAAAAATAATTTAGTTATGTGTTATATGAGAAAAGATGTACACAACTAAGTAATTTTTATATTAAGCATATCATCATTTATATTATAACACATATGCACTGTAACACTTCAAGTAATAACATCCCTTAACAGTTTCGTAATACCACTCAATAATTTCTTGTATATTACTGTAGAATTTTCTATTTTCTTCCATTGTCCATGACAGGTGTTAGAAGTTGACTTGAGCTTATGTTGCATAGAAATTTGGTGGACTTGAGATCTGGTGGTCTTGGTGCTCAGCCTTTGTTGGAACTTGGGATGCTCACGTGTAGAAATTATTGTGAGGAGGATAAACGTGAGGGATGAATGTGGAGCCCAGTAAGCACTGTAATGTGTAAGTTTGCAGCTAAGAGGCATTGAGCATACCTCAAAAACTATTCTTTTTCCTTTTTCTACTTTTATGGCATTCGAGTGTAATATTTTGCACAATGCAAGCCACAATTGGTATTTTTGGGTGGCCGCTTAGGGCAGCATGACTCATACGTGATGCTAGCTAGCATTCCCATAGTCCATTCTGATTGCATATAGTAATGGAAAAGAAGTTTTATTTTAGCATGTTAGTTTGTTGGCTTTTTGAATTGATATTTTAGATGTCTTTGATTATACTGTTAAAGTTTATCTAATAAAATTTCTACTTAATTTAAAAATAAAAATAAACTTTCTGGTTATTACAATGAATTGTGGGGGGTACCCTGTGAAGTATGTGTGTAATTTTTTTTATAAAAAAATGAATACCCTTAACATCATACTGTAGCTGTATGGGTTTAAAATTTACAGTCCCGATCTCTTGGACCACAGGAATCCAAGAGATTGTGATCACCCACCGTTGGATATTAATCTAATGGTTCAAAAAGTTTCTTAAAATGAGTACAAGAGCGAGTGAATCGTTGAATTTACATTCAACGGCGAGTGACAACAAATTTCTTGGATCTCTGTAGTCCAAAAGATTAGGATTGTTGAAATTTAATATTACAAGTTAGAGAAAAATGAAGACATACAGTGTGTAAAAAGATTATAAATTTATTGTAATCACCTTATCTAGCACTAGTTTTTTAAACGAAAAAATAATGTATTAAATTTCTATTGAAAAGTTGATATAGATACAAATAAAGCAGTGTGTCAAAAGACTATATATAATGCAGAGATATGAAAGATGGATATCAAGATAGAGGGTTCTAATCATAAGATATCATGTTTTTTTGTTGGTTTTGTAATGGTTATTTTTGTAACAAAGTGGGCTGGGCAGGTTCTGGGTTTTTTTGTTGTGAAAAATTGTGTTTGGGTATCTGGTAATATTATAGTGGAAAATTGTAGTGGCAGTTTTTTAAATTGTACAATTTTCAAGGGTTGTTTGTATTGGTAAGTCCATTGATTAGTCCAGTTGGGTTGTTTTACAGTGTGTTTGGATGATGAAATTTAAAAGTACAAAGGATTTCACAAATGACAGAATTTAAAATGACGGAAATTAAAGTTCTAGAATTTGAAAAGTTTCTTGCTTGGGTGATGGATTTAAAACACAGAATTTAACTTTATTTGTAAAGTTATCTTTTTTTAAACTCACTCTCTTTTAAGATTTTAGAAATGACGACTTTTAGATAGAATTTAAAGTTGAGATTTATGATATCCAAATTCCATGTTTTTTCCCATATGGAATTTCTAAATTTCTATGTTTTTATTATTATCCAAACACGAGAATTGGTTCATGTCAATTTAGAAATTTTGACTTTTGTCAAAATTCCAAGTTTATTTTCATCATCCAAACACTGTTATAAAATTTGGATTGCATAGGATTTTTTTATATTTTGGGATCTACGTTTGGACTTAAATGTGAAGCGCATGTATTATTCGGCCTTGTAAAGAGCTATCTCATATAAATGCCTCTATTTTATTTTGTTCACGAGTGGTTTGTAATGTTTTCATGTGTGAAGGAGGTGTGAAGTGTATGTGGTTGCTTCGACTGACACGTGTCTGCTACCTACATAAATGAAGAGTGCACCAGAATGTGACATGTGGGGCTTTGGGACAGGTGGTGGTCTCTGCATGGCTCTCTCATTTGAGTCAGCTCATCACCAAATCACTGAAGTAGATTTCCTGTTATTTTTAACCGGCATTGGGGTGTTGGTCTAAGAGCATCTCCAGCGCGAAGCCCAGCCCGGGGGAAAGGCTGCCAAAGGCAGCCCGAGACAGCTCCAGCGTAGGGCCCGTAGCCCGGTTTGGTGGTGGGTCCCACGTGCCCGAGCAAGCCCAAGGGCAAGTCTTGCCCGGGCTGAAGCCCGAGTTGGCTGACGTCAGCGCTGGCATCACGCTGACTCCAGCGCACGGTAAGTCAAATTTTTTTTACCGTTGGCGCGTGAATTACATGCGCCAACGGTAAAAAAAAATTGAGTTCCGTGCGCTGGCGTCAGCGTGACGCCAGCCACTGACAGCTCCAACGGGCGGGTGCCACATGGCGCGACGGGGACTCTCGGATGGATTTTTTCCAGAAATCCGACGGTCCTCGTTTTTTTGGCTAAAAAAATTGCAAAAAAAATCGAAAAAAATCTGAAATTTTTTTTAAAAAATACCCAAAAATTATGTATTTTTTCTCTATAAATACCTAACCATTTTATTTACTTTCCACACTAAAATCTTCATACAATTTCTTCTCCATCCCATATTTTTTACTCTTTACTCACATTATTCACTTTCCACACCAATTCTTCATACAAACTTTTCTCCTTCAAATTTTTTTGTTTATCTCCACTCACATTTTTCACTTCCACACCAATTATCCATACAAACTCTTCTCCTTCCAATATTTTTTACTCTCTTTCTACTACTTTCCATTTGTATAAAAAAAACGAATGACATCTTCTATTGAAGTCGGAGGCTCGTGGTCAACGAATGAAGATATTGCGTTGTGTCAATCTTGGGTGAACATTAGTCATGACCCTATCACGGGTAATGAGATGAAGTTTCATCACATGTGGAGCAAAATTCATGGAGAATTTTGTCAAAGATCGGGTTCTATTCGGACCGAAATGGCGTTGTCTAGTAGATGGAAACTTCTTAATAAAGAGTTAGGGAAATGGAGAAATGCCTTGACAAAAGCAAAGGCGAACATTCAAAGCGGTCAAAATTTGACCGATGAGGTAAAATATTATAATTGCCATTTTAATCAATTCAATGTCACTTTTTTTTTATTGCATATTCTATTTGTTTTTCTTGCATAATTTTTTTTTCTTGGTGCACCTTTAATTTGTCTATATTTTCTTGCATAATCAATTTTATTTTTGCATTTCAAAATAGTTTATATTTTCTTGCATAATAATTTTTGTTTCTTGCACTTCCAATTATTTATTTTTAATAGATGGTACAAGCACAAATGTGGTTCGGTGCCATGGGGCAAGGCAAAAAAAGTTTCGTGCATTTCCAATGTTGGGAAATTGTGAAGGATTGTTCGAGATTCAAAATTATTCCCACCGGTCCCCCGGTTGTGATGAATGAGACGCCACTCCACGATTCAACATCAACCGATTCTCCATTGGACTCCCCAATGGAAACGGAGTCACCATTTGTGCCACGTCCGCCAAGACCTATTGGGAGAAAGGCGGCAAAGGCCAAGAGAGGGGCCACTTCGACCAATGATTGTGTACAATTATTGGAGCAAATAGCTAAGAGCACCTCACTAAGAATCGAGAGAGACTTGAAAAGAGATGAAATGGACATGGCACGAGAGGAAGCATTTGTTCTCCAACAACAAATGGCACAAGAAAAAGACATAGAGGATAGAGAGATGAAAATCATGGCTATGGATACGAGCCATATGTCTCCCGAAACAAAGGCCTATTGGAAGCTACGACGAAGAGATGTGATGAGGAAAAAACTTTTCAATGACGACGGACCTAGCAATACGGATTGGTTAAATGATGAAAACCATTAGGAAGCAATTGAAACACCTTTGCCATATGTTGTATTGTTGTATTGTTGTATTATCCTTTAATTTGTTGTATTGTTGTATTATCCTTTAATTTGTTGTATTGTTGTATTATCCTTTAATTTGTTGTATTGTTGTATTATCCTTTAATTTGTTGTATTGTTCCCTTATCCTTTAATTTGTTGTATTGTTCCCTTATCCTTTAATTTGTTGTATTGTTCCCTTTTTATTCAATAAAAAAAGCATTAAATTAAATGACTATTTATTAAAAACATTTGAGCATCAAAACAAATATTAATTAAAAAAAACCTTCATTGATTGCAAACAACACACAACACAAACCATACATAAAACCCTAATAATAAAAAGCATAATTCCAAAAAAAAACCACACACAAAATAAAGCATAATTAAAAACAAAGCATAATTCCAAACAAAACCACACACAAAACAAAGCATAATTAAAAACAAAGCATAATTCCAAACAAAGCACTAATCTTGACTTCATCCATTGTGATTGCCTTTCATCTCCCACAAGTGCTCGATCAAGTCACGTTGACGTATCTCGTGAACATATGAAGATTGCATTTCTTGATACCGATCAATCATGGGGTTGTTGAATTGACCATCCCGAAGTATGGGTTCGGGCTCCAGTGGTAGTCCATTTGGTCCAATCGGCCTTTCATATATTCTTGTCAACGATGTGTTCATTGGATCGGGTTCAAACACCTCTTCAGCATCATAGTCATACTCATCCTCCACAATCATGTTGTGAAGGATGATGCAAGTCATCATAATACTCCGCAGCACCTCCTCATCTAGCATCCGAGCAGCACCTCTAATAATTGCCCAACGAGCTTGCAAGATACCGAAACACCTCTCCACGTCTTTCCTGTAACCTTCTTGAAAGGAAGCAAAGTTTCTTTCCTTCTCGGATTGGGGATTCGGAATTGTTTTCACGAATGTCGTCCACCTAGGATAAATTCCGTCGGAAAGGTAGTACGCACCAGAGTAAACGGTATTGTTGATTTGGTACGTGACCTGGGGGGAATGACCTCGCAATACCTCATCGAACACTGGGGATTGACCAAGGACATTGAGGTCATTCTGAGAACCGGCAACCCCGAAGAAGGCATGCCAAACCCAACAATCGAATGAAGCTACGGCCTCCAAAATTATACTTTTTTGGCCCTTCCGATTCCCGTACTCCCCTTGCCAAGCAGTAGGACAGTTCTTCCACTGCCAGTGCATACAATCGATGCTTCCAATCATTCCTGGGAAACCTCGAGCCTCGCCTTTTTGTAGAAGCCGTTGCAGGTCTCTTGGCGTTGGTTTGCGAAGGTACTCCCTCGTGTACAAATTTTCCACTGCATCACAAAATCTCACCAAGCACTCTAGGACAGTAGATTTTCCCATCCTTGCAATCTCATCCACCTGCTCTGCAGATGCCCCATAAGCAAGCATCCGCAAAGCAGCTGTCAGTTTTTGCTCCGGGATAAGACCTAAAGCTCCAACAGCATCATGCTTTTGAATGAAGTATGTGTCGTAATTACAAATATCATGCATGATTTTTTGGAACAAATGTGGTTGCATTCTATATCTTTCTCGAAACTTAGAAGCAGGATATAACGGATTTGGGATAAAATAATCCTCCATGAGATTCTTACCCCGAGACTCCCTACGTCTGTCCACATTCGGGGCACGAGGACGACGGTTTTGCCTTGATTGATCCATCATACACACCGCTGCTGCAAGCAGTAGTTCCTCTTCTTCATCGGCTTCCCGATCTTCTTGAGCACGTCTACGCCTTGTTTCTTCCCTTTGTTTCTGTTGCCTCTCCAACACCCTCAACAAGTTTGACATTGAGAGTAGAATGTGTTTTCTACAATCTGAGAAATGAAGGAATAGATAAGAGATGGTGTGAGAGGTTTGAAAATCAGGTCTAGTTTATAGACGGATTTAGAAGATAGAGATGACACGTGGCACAATTTGAGAGGATGAAAATCTTATCAAAAATCTGATATTAAATTTTTTTTAAAATATCTGAAAATGTTATCTGACATTTGACACGTGGCACAATTGTAGAGGGTGAAAATCTTATCTGAAATCTGAGATTAAAATTTTTTTAAAATATCTGAAAATGTTATCTGACATTTGACACGTGGCACAATTTTAAAAGGAATTTTCTTGGAATAATTTTTATTAAAATCTAAAATACCGAAAATTAACTACAAAACTTTAAATGCCGTTTTGGAAGGCCAAACGACCTCAAAATTTCAAAATCCATCATACATCACAAGTTTTGTGAGTTTGACTCGTGGCATCGTTCCCTTTTCGAAATGGTATTTTGCGTCCTAATCGGAGCTCGGACGACAAATATGCAAATTCCCACTACGTCCTTTTTCTAGCTCAACCGCTATAAAATCTGCCATTTGTTCTACATCAGACGTGGCACAATTTTAGAGGGTGAAAATCTTATCCGAAAATTTAATTACAAAAGATTATCAAAATTAATGGTTTAAACTATAAAAAAATAGAAAATAAAGTACAATGAATAGTAATTGTCTTAGACTTGCCCTAGACTTTGCCCTTGTGGGTGGAAACACAAATGCAAAGGCTGACACTATTCACGTGAATAGTGGCAGCCCTTGCTTGCCCTTGCCTTAGACTTAGCCCTTGTGGGTGGAGATGCTCTTAGGGGAAAGAGGCATGAAAAGAGAGGGAAGAGACGAACAAAATGTCCAATTAAAAAAGAAAAAGAAAAAGAAGAAGAAAAACACAAGTCTTGTTTGTGTTTGTTTTCACAAAATTCATTTTCGTTGATTGTTTGTACAAAAATAGATAATTTTATTTATAAAAACTAAAAATAAAAAATAAAAAATAAAAACTTATGCAAATGATAAAATTAACCTCAATGAAGTATATGCAATCTAACCTGAGGAGGTGTTAGTGTAAATAACTCAAAATGGAAACATACAGTGTATATAAGGATTACAAATTATTGAAAAGTTGATATAGATACAAGTAATGCAGTTGTATAAAAGATTTTATTGAGAGAGAGAGAGAGAGAGCTAAGTGCTCTCATATTATGAATTGGCTTTATCCCAATTGTACAATTCAATTACTGGAGTAATGTTATGAACAAATTCAAGTGGGTTTCACTTGTATGTTGTACTCTAACAAAATATGTTATGAGTAGTTTTGAGAATTCCGATCCACACTATCCAATACATGGAGCTTCCCTGGATGTTTATTCCGAAAGTGACATATATATTGAGCGGAAACACAAAAGCTACATGTATGTTTTACATATATATCCATATTTCTCTCCAAAATGAGACTTAGCTAGATTTTATCCTGACGTATGATTTGATCAATAATGTATTTAATAAATGTGGGACAACAATACGTATTCAATAGTTAATGATTGAGAGGCTCCTAAGAACTTTCAATTCTTCCCTTCCTTATTGATTAAAAAAAATCCAATAGTTATGTTCGTTCTTCAAAAATAATTTTGTTATATGTTATATGAGAAAAGATGTATACAACTAAGTAATTTTTATATTAAATATATTATCACGTGATATAACCAATTCACTTATACTATAACACGTATATAATACTTCAAATAATAACATCCCTTAAAAGTTCTGTAATACCACTCAATAATTTCTTGTATATTACTCTAGAATTTTATCTTTTCTTCCATTGTCCATGACATGACAGGTGTTAGAAGTTGACTTGAGCTTATGTTGCATAGAAATTTGATGCACTTGGAGATCTGGTAGTCTTGGTCCTCAGCCTTTGTTGGAACTTGGGATGCTCACGTGTAGAAATTATTGTGAGGAGGATAAACGTGAGGGATGAATGTGGCGCCCAGTGAGCACTATAAGAGCACTTCCAGCAGTTGGAATATTGTCATGGCAAGGGGGGGCTAGGGCTGATACTATTCACGGGAATAGTGTCTGCCCTTGCAAAAAGTAAATTGCACTTCCAGTAGTTGCCATGGCAAGGGGGGTACTATTCAAATTATTATTTTTTTTTCACAAATTTGTTTACCTAAACAATTAATTTGGACAATATTTTTGGATGAGATTTTTTGATAAAATATTCGGATAAGATTTTCAGATAAGATTTCCGGTTTCAAATTTCAGATAATTTTTTTTTTTCAAATTTCATATAAATTTCATCTGAATTTCAAATTTCATATAAATTTCATTTGAATTTCAATTTCATATAAATTTAATCTGAATTTCAATTTCAGATAAATTTCATCCGAGTTTCAAATTTCGGATACGATTTTCACCCTATAAAATTGCGCCACGTGTCATCTGAATTTCAAATTTCAGATAAATTTCATTTGAATTTTAACTTTTCATTTGAATTTCACATTTCAGATACATTTCATTTGAATTTCAAATTTTGGATAAGATTTTCATCCTATCAACTTGCGCCACATGTCATGTCTATCGACCTAAATTTTTCTATAAAACAAAGGCTCGGCTCACAAACCTCTCACACTACATCTTCTCAAAAATTTCAGTTCTCATATTTTAGATTTCATATTTCATCTTCCATTCACAATGTCAGACATGGAGGAGGTCTTGGAGAGGCAAGAGCGAGAAATAAGAGAAAGAATGCGTAGACGAGCAGCAAGCAAAAGAGCGCAGAGAGATCTAGATCAGCAACTTGTCATGGCTGTGGCCATGCTTGATGAAGAAAACCAGAGCAGTCGTGGTTCACATGAAGGTCGTGCCCAAATGTTGACAGACATAGGCATTCTCGGGGTAAGAATATTATGGAAGATTATTTTATCCCAACATCTCTGTACTCTGATGTTCATTTTCGAGGGAGGTATAGAATGCAACAACATTTGTTCAATAAAATCATGCATGATATTTGCAATTATGATGAATACTTTGTTCAAAAGAGAAATTGTGCTGGTGTTTTGGGACTGTTTCCCGAACAAAAGTTCACAGCTGTTATACGAATGTTGGCGTATGGTGCATCTGCTGATCAGGTGAATGAGATTGCCCGGATGGGGAAGTCCACTGCCTTGGAGAGTTTGGTTAGATTTTGTGATGCAGTCAAAACTCTGTACACCAAGGACTACCTGCGCCGACCCACGCCCAGGGACCTGCAACGACTTCTGCAGAAAGCCGAACAGAGAGGATTTCCAGGAATGATTGGTAGCATCGACTGCATGCACTGACAATGGAAGAATTGCCCAACTGCTTGGCAGGGTAAGTACGGAAATCGGAAAGGCCAAAAAAGCATCATCCTTAAAGCCGTTGCAGGTTTCGATACATGGGTCTGGCACGCCTTTTTCGGAGTTGCTGGATCTCAAAATGACTTGAACGTCCTGGGTCAATCCCCGGTGTTCAATGATGTTTTGAGAGGAGAAGCCCCAAAAATCACATATGAAGTCAATAATACCGTCTACCAAACACGGTATTATCTAGCTGACGGGATCTACCCGAGGTGGACAACATTCGTGAAATCACTTTCGCATCCCCGAACCCAAAAGCAAAAATTATTTGCTACATATCAAGAGGGTTACAGAAAGGATGTGGAGAGGTGCTTTGGTATCCTCCAAGCTCGGTGGGCGATCATTAGGGGTGCGGCACGTATGTTTGATGAGGAGGTGTTGAGGAGCATCATGATGACATGCATCATTCTTCATAACATGATTGTGGAGGATGAGTATGATTACGAAGCTGAAGAGGTGTACGAACCCGATCCCATGAACACGGCCTTGACCCGAATTCATGAAAAACCAATAGGGCCAAATGGAGAACCAGTGGAGCATGAACCGTTGGTTAGAGATGGTCTTTTCATGAACTGTATGATTGATCGATATACGAAGATGCAATCTTCATATATTCATGAACGCCGTCAAGTTGACTTAATGGAGCATTTATGGGCGGTGAAAGGCAATGACGGTGAATGAAGTGAAGTGAAGAACATTTTTAAGATTTTAATGTTTATGTTTTATGTTTGGTTTTTTTATGCTTTGGTTGTGGTTTGTTTGTTTTTATATATTTAATGCTTTGGTTGTGGTTAGTTTTTTTATGTATGGAATGTTTTGAATAAAAAGGAATTTTATTTAATAGTTTCTTTGATAGAGAAAAATTAAACTTGAAAGTGAAAAAATTTTAGAGTTGAAAGTGAAAAAATTATTGAGTAGAAAGTGAATAATTAAACTTGAAAGTGAAAAAAATTTAGAGTTGAAAGTGAAAAAATTATTGAGTTGAAAGTGAATTTGTTGTTAAAAGTGAAGAGTATGGATTGGTATTTATAGAAAAAAAAATCAGTATTTTTTGGGGTTTTTTATAGATTTTTTACGATTTTTTTTCATAATTTTTTGCCTTGAAAAATTCCAGGCCGTTGGATTGGATGAAAATTCGAAAATCGAAAGGACCATATCGCGCCACGTGGCAGCGGAAAGAAAAAAATTAAATTGCGCCTGCTGACGTCAGCCTGCCTTCGGGCTGCTGCTCGGGCAGCCCCTACCTTCGGGCCAGCCCAGGCAAGTGGACCCCACACTGCCCGAGCCAGCACTTGTTGCTGGAATGGCGTTTTGGGCTCCCCCCCCCCCCCCCCCCCCCCCCCCAGCCCGAGCGTGGCTGGGCTGGAAGTGCTCTAATGTGTAAGTTTGCAGCTAAGAGGCATTGAGCATACCTCAAAAACTCTTCTTTTTCCTTTTTCTACTTTTATGGCATTCGAGTGTAATATTTTGCACAATGCCAAGCCAGAATTGGTATTTTTGGGTGGCCGCTTAGGGCAGCATGACTCATACGTGATGCCAGCTAGCATTCCCATGCTCCATTGTGATTGCATACTGTAGTAATGGAAAAGAAGTTTTACAGTTTGTTCACCTCTTGAAATTGACATTTTAGATGTCTTTTATTATATTGTTGAAGCTTATCTAATGAAGTTTCTACTTAATAAAAAAAAAAATGTTCTGATTATTACAATGAATTGTGGGGGTACCCCCGGTGAAGCATGTGTGTAATTTTTTTTTATAAAAAAAGGAATATCCTTAACATCAGACTGCAGCTGTATGGGTTTAAAATTTAATATTACAAGTTAAAGAAAAATGGAGACATACAGTGTGTAAAAAGATTACAAATTTATTATAATCACCTTATCAACCGCTAGTTTTCTAGACGAAAAAAATAATATATTAAATTTCTATTGAAAAGTTGATATAGATACAAATAATGCAGTGTGTCAAAGGACTATATATAATGCAGAGATATGAAAGATGGATATCAAGATAGAGGGTTCTAATCATAAGATATCATGTTCTAATCATAAGATATCAAGATACCGGTGAGAAACTTAATATTCGGTGGGGATCCACCGTAAGATGAAACGTAGTTCAGTGGTGTACTACCGAATTTTTACCCGCGTTTCAGTGGCATCCAACCGAAATTTATTTATTTTTTCAGTAACTTATTGCCGACCACAAATTTAATCCAAGTTATTTTGATCTTACTCCCATTGAAGGAACAAAATCAAGGTGATGCCCCTACTGAAGGCAACAATGTGGGAACAGAATGTGTAATGGACTATAGTGATCAATTCACAACTTATTCGGTAATTATTTGTCTGAAATCCTTTTTAGTATCATTAACGTGGCATTAATGTTTCAAGTTTCAAGTTTTGTTTCTATAAAGGCTTTGAGTGTAATTGTGTGCGAGTTAGAAAGGTAAATTCAATTTACTTATTGCATGTACATATATGGTTTACAAAGTTAACATTGTAATTTTTTTGCAATCAGGTTAGAGACAGATGGGGTGGATGCTTTATCATGTGGTTGTGCTATTCGTCAAACCCACCAATTACCATGTGCACATGAAATTGCGGAGTATAGAGAGCGTGGTGTACCAATACCACTTGATGTCGTGCATTCACATTGGAGGAAATTAGATATCATCAATATAGGAAACAGTAGTCATGGCACAACTTCACCAGGATGGTCACAACTACAAAGATTCAATATGTGGTATGAACAACAAGATGGTGAGAAGAAGAGACAAGTCCACATGACACTGGAGGAGCTAATGAACCCTGGTTCTACTGCGCTTACTGAACCAAAAGAGAAGTTGAAGACCAAAGGGAGACCGCGAACTCATCTCTGAATCTGTGTCTGAAACATTGGAGAATCGCGCCCGTAACCATGACAAACTCACATACTCATCACTGTATTGGTGCAATTGTTCAGTAGCCTCTTCATCAGTCACTCCTAAGTACTTAACTAACAACTCAAAATTTGTGTCGTCGTCATCTCCAAGAAGAGCAACCGCTGCACCAGACACAGGAATGCCTAAAATAGATGACACATCATCCAATGTGATGGTCATCTCACCAAAAGGCATGTGAAAGGTGTTCGTTTTGGGATGCCACCTCTCAATAAATGTAGATACCACAATCTTATCAGCATTCCGATAAGAACACCTAATAAGGTGCTCTAATCCAGACCTCTGAATGTACCCTTTGAATATACCATTATTTGGATTACCTCACCAATTCCACTCACGAAGGGTAGATGTTTTCGACATGCACCTAAGGGGCTCACGTTCCTAGTTAAACAAAAAAAAAACAAAATTAAGGTTAGTTACCATGAACCAGACTACCTCCTATTGTCACAGTAAAACGACTTACCTGGTTATTCCAAATTGCAGCTGTTATGTGAGTTTTAAAACTCGTAAGTAAAGATAGATCAATGGGACCTACTCGAGATGGCTCAGTAGGCTTGGCATGTACCTCAACATTACTATCCTCAGTAGTAGCTACATCTTCAACCTCTGCGTCAACATTACTATAATCAGTAGGAACTACATCTTCAACCTCTGTAGTATCCTCAATGTGATCTTGGGGAGCCGCTCTCTGTCTCCTCGCTGAGGCCGTGGGACGCTGTCTATTAGGTCGGGATTATGAAGCTTCAGTAGTACCCCTGCGAATCCTCTTTATATCTAAAAATAAACAATATTAAGTACACACTCAGTAACGTATTCGGTGGACAATTACTGAAAAAAAGAATACATAGTCGGTGGAGTACCATTGAAAAACCGAAAGAAATTCTGTGGGAGTCCCCTGAAAAATAGAAACAGATTCGGTAGACTACCACCGAAACAAGGTAACAATTTCGGTGGTAACCCACTGAAAGTACAGGTTCAATTCGGTGGACTACCACTGAAGCAATGTAATCATTTCGGTGGCAATCCACTGAAACTAGAATCCATTTTCGTAAAACCAGGTTCGAACTACCCAGAACCTTGAGATCGAAATCAAAATCAATATCAGACTTTGGCTTTTCAAAAGTGAAATCAAATGTAGGCTTAATCAACACTTAGAAATGTAAATATATAAATCAAACCTCGAATAAGGATTTGTGAGAACTTGACCTTCAATGGCTTTCAGGTTTGCAGAGATGGAGATGGGTGTGATGGTTCTGTTTTAGAGATGGTTCGGGTTTGCTGGAGGCGATGGCAAATGGCTTCTTTGATGGTGAGCAAAGATCTGCGATGGCAAAGGGATGAGTTCTTCGATGTTCTGCGATGGAGGCGATGGCAAAGGGCTTCTTCAATGGTTCTGCGATGGAGGTTGGTGTAAATAGGATGAGGTGTGCGATGGGGTGTGTCTGCAAGAGGAGAGAATTTTCGGTGGGGTGTGGCTGGATATTAGATGGGGTGGGGTTTGATTTCAGATGGGGTGTGGCTGAAAGGAAAGGGGGTTTTCGGTGGGTGGTTAGGGAATGGGGTTTATGAGGGCAATTTAGGGAAAAAAAAAGGGGTTTAATGAGTAATTTGAAATTTTATTAAAATTTAGTGGGGTGTAAAAAGTAATTTATGGGGTTCATATAGAATTTCCCCTCATATAATATAAATATGCCATAAGAGCATCCACAATGAGGGGGGTGTATATAGGGGTGTATGTTAAATATACACCCCAAGTCACCGGAATCGTCTCCAATTGGGAGATGTAAATGGATGTAAATATACATCATCACCATGGGGATATAAAATAAAATGTATATTTACATCTATTTTTACATCTCTTGCAGGTGAGACCCATCGGAGAACAGAGAAGAACAATGAAGAAAAGTCAACATAAAAGGCTGGGACCCACGGCTACACCCCCCAAATTTACACCTCCATTAGAGAAAAAAACATATTTACACTCCTCGGAGGTGTAAAGGGGATGTAAAAGTGGTTTTACACCCCCCACTGTGGATGCTCTAAGGGGAGAAGAATACAAACACAGAAATTCCCAAATATTTTCGCATAAAGGACATAAAATATTACCAAAACAGAGTTGGCAAAAAGAAAAAGGAAAAGAACGAAAAGGACCAGTCAGATTACTCTTTAGCTTTTTTCTTTCGTCTATGCTCCTGAAATGCCTTTGCAAAACAACCAGTCTGATTCCTCACATCCGTAGCCTCCACATCGTAGAATATGGGCACAACCTTTTGCTCTAATTATTTTTTACAATCCATGAGTATTTTATTTTGTGTGAAGGGGGTGTGAAGCATGTTGCTGCTTATGCTGACACGTGTCTGCTACCTACAAAAGTGAAGAGTGCACCAGAATGTGACATGTAGGGCCTTGGGACAGATGGTGGTCTCAGCGTGGCTCTCTTTTGAGTCATCTCATCACCAAATCATTGAAGTAGATTTCCTATTGAAATTTGCAACTTTGTAATAGATTTGTATAGTCCTCATCTCTTGAACCATAGAGGTTCAAGAAATTTGTGGTCACTCACTGTTGGTGTTGTTTTAACCGGTATTGGGGTGTTGGTCTAATTCAGGGGTGAGGTAGGTGTGCAAGGCACGTGACTTATTAGTAGTGTATGTGAATTAGTTAGACAGCTGTATAAAGTGTTGTAGCTTAAAAGATTAAGAAATACAGAAATCAAGATTGCAATTTCTCTCTGCTTCATCATGGCTTCTTCTTCCTCCATCAACATTGATGGCTTGCTCAGTATGGTACAATTTCTTGAACTGGAGTCATCGACTCCATTGCTAATTGTTCATCCACAGCACTCGATTGATTAGTTCGAACAAATGCGTCATGGCTCCGTCCTGCTCCCTCATCCGGCCGTGTGTCATGGCTCCGTCCTGCCTCATTATCAGTTCCCCAAAAAAAATCCAGATATGGTTCCACTGCTAATTGGTCATGTATAACACTAGTTTGATTGGGAACAAATGCGTCATCAACTCCCCCTGAAAAATCTCGATTTGTTTCCAAATCATACAAATGAGGATCCGGATTATCCATATTTTCCTTCATGACTTCGTCCCATTCTAATTGTTTATATACAGCACTCAATTGATCAGATGCACCATGGCTCCGTCCTGCCCCATCATCAGCTCCTCCAGAAAATTGCAGATTTTCCATGATAGACAATGACAAACGAGTACATAGATCGCCATGGCCGAGAGGATCGTCTTCCACTGCTGATTCTTCATCTATAGCACTCACTTGATCACCGGGAACAGATGCGTCATTGCTTGGTCTTGCCTCATCATCAGTTCCCCCCAAAAAATCCAGATATGGTTCCACTGCCAAAAAATCCCAAAAATCCCGATTTGTTTCCAAATCATACAAATGAGGATCCAACAAGTCATCAACTCCCCTGAAAAAAATCCCGATTTGTTTCCAAATCATACAAATGACGATCCGGATTATCCATATTTTCCTTCATGACTTTGTCCCATTCTAGATGAACCCCCGTCTTCTTCACTCTCACTAAATCAACTAGAGGCCTTACAAGAATGGAGACTTGGTCCCCGCCTTGCAAACGTAGCACATTGTTTGACAATTGTCCCTGCCAAAGATAATCGTCTTCAGATTGACTGGAATCGTCTTCAGGTTCTTCAGGTTCACTGGAAGATTTTAAGGAGGCAAATGCTATCTTGGTGTGCAAAGCAGACGATACCGTCCACCAAGGCAATGGTTCATTGTAAGTTTTTAAGGAGGCAAATGCTATCTTGGTGTGCAAAGCAGTTTGTTTGGTAAGATTTCTAACGATAATGTCAATAGGAACTTGAGAATCTTCAAGTTTTGGCCTGTCTGAAGAGTAAACGAAGCATGTAGTCAACCCTTTTAAATCACGACCCATGATTCTTTGAGGAACTTCAAAGAAGACGATATTTTCCACCTCATCGTCCAACTCGAACCACTCAGGAATATCATAAATTCCATTCAAATAAATTCCACCAAATCCACAAGAAGTCCATCTCTGCACACCAGAAGCAATACATTCTTACGCATGCATGCATATCATTATATGGGCCGCATCTGCAGCTGTGCCTCTTTGTTTGTGTGTGTGTGTGAGAGAGAGAGAGAGAGGAGAGAGAGAGAGAGAGAGAGACCTGTAGGATGTTGTTCCTAAAATCGGCAGTGAGATTGGTGCAGCCTTCCATATGAATCCTTGTCATGGAGTTTAATGACTTATCCAAGCCTGGAACCTCAGTGAGTTTGACCGAATCACGTAGATGCAATTCTCTCATATTCGACATTTTTGAAAAATCTGGAATTGTTTTCAATTTTGGGCAGTCATTTGCTTTCAGAACATACAAATTGGTTGGTAAATCTGGGATTGCACGAAGTTCTCTGCATGCATTTACACACAAGACCTTGAGCTTCGAAAGACCAGCGAGACTTGGTAGGCTACAAAAGTCATTGTCTCCAAGAAGCAGATCTTCTAAGGAAATTAGGCTACATAGATCCTTAGGGATTGCATCCTCAGTGAACTGCCAGCAGCCTGCAAGACATAACTAAAGAGTTTAAGGCATGTAACGAAAGGGGTAAAAGATGGAATTTCAAAATTCTCACCAGATAGAGATAAAATTCTCAACTTCTTCAATTTTACTATGGAAGATGGAATTTGTCTGATGGCTGTCTTATCTGCTTTCAAAATTTTCAATGATACCATGTCCCCTAAGCCATCAGCCAAGTTTTCAAAACTCCGACAACCATTCAGTAGAAGAGTTTCAATAGACTTTGATTTATAGAAATTCAGTGGGAGATCCTCTAGCATTTCGCAGTCTTCAAGATTTACCAAAGAAAGTCTTTCAAGATACCCGATGGATGAGTGAACCTTATACAAGCTCGTACAACCTTTCAATATCAACTTTTCAAGATTTGGGAATTTTGAAAAGTCTGGGGATTTTGTTATGTGATTATCATCTTCGACATGAATGATGTCATCATCATTGACCAGATTTTGAGATGGGCGACGTTCATACGCACAACGATGGTAATCAATCATATTTTCATTCATAAATTTGTCCCACACCAGACTAACACCTGTTTTCTTCACCTGCACCCAATCATCTTTCTCCACTATTATTTCAATCAAGACTTTATCACCGTCTTGCAATTTGAGCTCGTCATTTGATAACTGTCCTTGCCAAAGATGATAACCATTATTTGGACAAACAGGCTTGATCCTGGCGTCAAGCTCAGTACCCTTGGTCATGTTTTTAAGGCTAATACGGCAACCATCGTATAAGCCTGAAGAGCAAACGAAGGACAAAGTTAACCCTTTCAAAATACGACCAACACTTTGAGGCACGGTGAAATTTACAATATCATCGTCATGGACACAGTGGAACCAATCAGGAATATCATTTCCACTGAGAAAAATGCCACCATATCCGCAAGAAGTCCACCCCTATACCATGTAGATCCAAATTTCTATAAGAAATACATTCTTATGCATGCATGTGTACATGTGTGTTGTATGTGATAGAAAGAGAAACAAGTACGAGAGAGAGATAGAGAAGGATTGACCTGTAGGATGTTCTTCCTAAAATCGGCAGTAAGATTACTGCAATTTCCCATATGAATCATTGTCATGGAGTTTAATGACTTATCCAGGCCTGGAATCTCAGTGAGTTTGTCCGAATCTCTTAGATACAATTCTCTTATATTTGACATTTCTGAAAAATCTGGCATTTTTTTCAATGCAAAGCAGCCATCTGCTCGTAAGACTTTCAAATTTGTTGGTAAATCTGGAATTGCACAAAGATTTTTGCACTCATGCAAAGACAAAACTTGAAGCTGTGAAAGACCACTGAGGCTTGGTAGGCTGCAAAAATCATTTCCTACAAGATATAATTTTCTTAAGGAGCTTAAACTTTCCAATGAAGGAGGCAAAAGATTTGTTGATGGCGGCTCAGCGCTTGCATAACATAAAGATAAAACTTCCAGTTTCTTCAATTTTAATATGGACGATGGTATTTGTCTTATGGATGTCAAATCCGCTTTTAGAGTTGTCAATAATACCATGTCCCCTAAGCCCTCAGCCAACTTTTCAAAACTCGAACAACGATTAAGTAGAAGAGTTTCAATAGACTTGGATTTATAGAAATTCAGTGGGAGATCCCTTAGCCTTATGCAGCCTTCAAGATTTACCAAAGAAAGTCTTCCAAGATCCCCGATGGATGAGTGAACCTCAGACAATCTCCAACAGGATTGCAATATCAATTCCTCGAGATTTGGGAGTTTTGAAAAGTCTGGTGATTTTGTTAGCCTACGGGAATGGCTGAGATTAAGGATTTTCAAATTCCCATGCAACTGTTACACAAAAACAAAATTAGTCTGGTCTCTGAAACAGAAATTAATGCAAAATGAAGCGAAGGTGAAGTATAATATATGTATAGAACCAGAAGGAAAGAACCAACAACAACTAGGTTGAGATTATTATACCTTGCAATCCTTCCAAACTATTTTGAGGTTGCTATACTGCAGGTCTAAAGCAACTAGTTTTGGTTGCACAGGAAAGTCATCTGGTATGGACTTTAAAGGAAAATAACGCCAGCACAACCATATTAACCTTCTGGGAAAATCTTTGTACTCTCCAGTGAGCTCTACTCCGCTGAGGTGGAGTAACCTCAGTTTTTTCATGTTGGTAAATGCTTGTGCACTGAATCTAGTCAAATCTAGATCCGAATCTTGACCCGAATCTAAATCCGAATCTAGATCCAACTCTCCAAAGTAACTTCGACACAAATCTGGATGCAAATGTAGAGCAACTCCTTCAATTTCTTCAGTTCCCTGTTAACAAAATATACCGAGTTAGAAAAACGATCTACAAACGTGAAAATCCGTGTATGTATTAACCAAAAGGTATAATTAATAGTATTGGACCATGTTACGCCCTATAGTTTGTGTTTGCAATCAAAGCACATATTTTTTGTTGGTTATGCCTAATTAATGGATATAATATAAGAAATGGCAATGGGGTCTATTGCTTGTACTAAACAAAAAAAAATAAAGAAATGGAAAGGGACATTTTAATTTATTATAGACACAGGATGCATATGCTTCTCTTGCATGATGCATTCTAAAACTTTACTGGGAAAGTACTTACAGATTTATCGCTCAATACATCTATTACGTCTTCATGTTTCCACAATCTACTAAATTTTTCAGGGTGATCGCGGTCATTTTCACGGACAATCTCTCTTCCCATGTCTCGAAGCAAATCATGCATCCTCAGCTTGTTATACTCACTAACAGTTACAAGGCACCGTTCAATGAGGACACTGATTCCTGTTGTTGCAAAAAAGCCACATCCAGCTAATATTTGTGTGACATAGTCCTTGTCCTCTCCAATAAAGAAACAAGATATATCAAGGAATATCTTTCTCATTGTATCATCAGGTAGCCTGTCAAAGCTTATTCTGAGTATTTTTTGAATATCTCCATCAGGACTTCTTTTCAATTTCTCCAAATGATTTTCCCACTCCACTGGGGATCTTTTAATCAGAAAAGACCCTACAACTTCAAGTGCTAGTGGCAAGCCTCGACAGTAATGAATTACAAGTTTTGAGAGGTCAAGGTATTCTTGATCAGGATAACCTCTTTTGAAGGCATGCCAACTAAAGAACTCTAGAGCTTCTTCCTCGTCCATTTTTTCAGCGATATATGTGCTATCCACTCCAACTTGCTGTAGCAAATGTTTATTTCTTGTTGTTATAACAATTCTACTTCCAGGGCCAAACCAATCACGAGCTCCAGCTATTGCTTCTAGTTGGTGTAGATCATCTGCATCGTCAATTATGACAAGTGCTATTTTACAGCAAAGTCTTGCTCTGATCATATCGATCCCCTTAGCAACAGAGCCAACCTTTATGCCCTCGCTTTTCAAGATATCATTTAGAAGTTGTTTTTGCAAACGAACCAGACCCATTGGTTGGTTTGCAATTACTTCCCTCACGTTTGCAAGGAAACTCCTACCTTCAAAGCTACCTTCAAATTTGTTATAAATGGCTTTGGCAAGCGTTGTTTTCCCAATGCCGCCCATCCCCCAAATACCGATCATGCGAACAACATCCTTAGAACCTGAATTTTCAATATCTAAGTGATTACTCAAAGCCTTCACCCGATAAGTAATTCCAATAGGGTGTTTGATGTCTAATCGGTATTTTCTGTTCACCAAGTTATTAACCACACCAAGAATTTTCTTGATAAACTTTGCTTCATGCCTGGCAATTAAACAAAGAAGCAGAACTACGAATCATTCGATGTGGAACAAACTACAAGGTTAAATTGAATCCCTAACTTAATAATTTAGAATGAGCAAATTATTTTCTTTTTTTATACAATTAAGATTGGGATTTAACATCAAATGTTAAATGGATCTTACATTATCAAGTAAGAAAGAATGCTTAGTTAAAACCAAACCAAACCAAACCAAACCAACAAACACCAAAGTTCAAAGTAAAAAAGAAAACATAGTTGGAAAAACAAAAACAAAAACAAAAAGGACAGAAAACATATGGTTGTCAAGTAAGGAGATGATAATCCAAGGAACAAGAAATTAGTAATTACCCATTGTCAGCATTTTTAAGATCTTCCCCACACAAATCTGCTGCTTGACTGAGAGCATTCCTCCATCGCTGTACCTTTTCTTTCTCATGTTTGCCCGCTTCATGTTTCTCAAAAGCTTGTGCAAAACTACCAGTTTGTTTCCGGACATCTGAAGCCTCAACATTATAGAACAATGGAATGACCTGTTGCCCCAATCGTTCTCTACACTCCATGATCTTCACCAGTTCGTCAAGACACCAACTGGAATCGGCATAGCTCTTGGAGAAGACAATTATGGAGATCATGGACCTGTCGATTGCCTGCTCCAGTTGGGTTTTTATAAATTCCGCTCTTTTTAGCTCTTCGTCGTCAAGAAAGGAGCGGATTCCGGCATTAGATAATGCGGCGTGGAGGTGGCCTGTGAAGCCCTTGCGTGTGTCTTCACCTCTGAAGCTCAAGAACACTTGGTACTCCCAACGTTTTGATGAGGAGGACGGTGAGGATGAAGAGGAGGCTTTATGGGCTTTCCTGGCATCCATTAATTGATACTGGAGGAGCTATCGGTTCAGATCAGACCAGCTACAAATTATGCACAAGTTTGCCTTCCGATCCGACTTGGGCAGAAGAAGTTATTTCATAATCAATTATTTTTTCTGGGCAGTGGTTTGTGTGTTGCAGCGCAGATGAATAATTTCGAAATAGGCATAGTCAAGGTCCTCAAACGTTCCCATGTGGGGAGAACAGTGAAAAGAGAATATCTTTTTGGCTACACGATCTACTGGACGGCTAAGATTGAAGTCAGGAAATTGCAAGGAAGCTTATGGGAAAGAGGCATGAAAAGAGAGGGAAGAGACGAACACAATGTCCAATTAAAAAAGAAAAAGAAAAAATAAGAAGAAAAACACCGGTCTTCTTTGTGTTTGTTTTCACAAAATTCTTTTTCGTTGATTGTTTGTACAAAAATTGATGATTTTTTTATAAAAAAATTTTATGCAAATGATAAAATTAACCTCAATGAAGTATATGGAATTTAACTTGAAGAAGTGTTAGTGTAAATAACCCAAAATGGAGATATACAATGTATATAAAGATTACAAATTTATTGTAATCACCTTATTATCTACCACTATTTTTCTAAACGAAAAAATAATGCATTAAATTGACCTCTGTTGGAACTTGGGATGCTCACGTGTAGAAATTATTGTGAGGAGGATAAACGTGAGGGATGAATGTGGAGCCCAGTGAGCACTGTAATGTGTAAGTTTGCAGCTAAGAGGCATTGAGCATACCTCAAAAACTCTTGAAAAAAAAAAAAAAAAAAAAAAAAAAAAAAAAAAAAACTCAAAACTCTTTTTCCTTTTTCTACTTTTATGGCATTCGAGTGTAATATTTTGCACAATGCCAAGCCACAATTGGTATTTTTGGGTGGCCGCTTAGGGTAGCATGACTCATACATGATGCTAGCTAGCATTCCCATGTTCCATTCTGATTGCGTACTATAGTAATGGAAAAGAAGTTGCATGTTACGATGATACCCTGTTTTGTTTCATGTCCAATCACATTTTGTTATGTGGGATCTTTATCATGCGTGACGAAACGTGATTGATTGGGAATGACAAAACAATGTTATTTATGTAATATATTTCATAGCAATCTTCTTTATCAAAATTGTTGAATTTATCTTATCTGTCAAGCATTATCCATGCATATTAGCTGACTTATAAATTTTTGTTTAGTCATTTGATTAGTTGATGAATTCTTTTTGCACATTTTAGATGAATAAATAGTTTTTGATGACGATTTTTTTGGAATGACAATTGAATGAGGACTTAAATTATAAAATATTCCTTCTTAGATTTTTTGGAATGACAATAATAAGTTGTAAATATATGTACCGAACCCAACCAAACCGAAAGTTGTGTACAATTGCCCTGTTGGGCTCTTTCCTGAACTGAACCTATGGCCAGACCTAGGGACGGATCCACAGAGGAGCAAAGGTGGTCAATTGACCCATGCAACTCCAAAATCCGCCACTTGAGGAAGAAAAATTGATCCCTGCAATGGCTGGATGGCTGGGCAATTCATGCCCGCCATCTGTTCGAAGAAATGCCTTAAAGGGTTGCAGCAACTTCAACTTCAGCGCAGCAAGCAACATTGCACGCAGAGCACTTCCTTTTTTTCTTCTTTTGATTCAGGAGAAACGACACCGTTTCATTTAAGTCTTTATTTTATTTAAAAACATATTAAAATAAATACAAATTTATAAATAAACCCAATCATAGACATGTATTTATAAAAAAAAACCCAAACACTATTTAAACATAGAAACACACCCAAAATCGACCCCAAAATCAACAATTGTATATTTTTTGGGTGTGTTTATAAATAAGTTTTGAGTGTGTGTAATGATGGGTTTTGAGTGTGTTTATAATGTGTTTTGGGTGTTGGGTTTTTTTTATAATTTCAGCCCCTATTTTGGGTGTTTTAGTAAAACTCCCTAAAATAAACTGGGGCAACAACAAGCAATGGAGCTGCTACCCGATGAAGCCCACAATCCCCAATATATTGGACATTTCAAACGCAATACGCTATTATGTTTTCAATTTGTTTTTCTCTCTCTCTCTTTTTTTTCCTCTTTCCCAATCTTGCTTTTTCTCTTCTTTTTCATTTCAGTTTTTTCCTTTTGCTATTTACTTTGTGTTTACTTTTTATTTTACTTTTTTTTTTCCTTTTCATGTATTTTTCTTTATTACATAATTTTAGCTCATTCTATTTTATAATTTGTTTTTGTCTTGCCTTTATTTTTTTTTCAATATTAGAAACATAAATAAGGTTCAATACGTCGATATAGTTGTAACCGAGATAAATTACATCGTTGACTGTCTTGCAATGTTTATAATATTTCTTAGTAGGTTGATAGGTTTAAAGTTTGTTACTTTAGGAGTTGAATCTTTGTGAATTTTAATATAAGGTTTTTGTTTTTGTGGATTGATTAATATAGTGAATAAAAATATGGTGTATTGATTTAATATGTGTTTTGTATTGTTGTTTTCTCAATGAATTATATATGAATGATAATTTATCATTTTATTTTATGGAATAATATTGATGTTTTTCTTGATTAGTTGTTGAGGTTTTTTTTTTGGTTTTTGCCTAGGAGGTTTAATTTTGGTTAGTTACTGTTAGTTTGAATAAATTAAGGGTTTTTTAATATAAAAAAAATTTATGGATCTATTTTGTATAGAAATTTTTTAACCTTTTAGATGTTGACCCCTGGAAGAAAAATTCCTGGATCCGTCCCTGGCCAGACCTACAATGGTTCGTAAAGGCTTTAGAAAATGCAGTTTATTGAGACTCTTCAATGGCATTTCAACTAGACCAGTCATTGAATCCCATGACTATGTCACTTTGTGTAGTTCATTGTTTGAATCTTCACACTGGTTCCTTGTTTGAATCCTTACTTTCTGAAGGTTTCAAGAAAAATATCTCATTTACTTACTTGCATGAGAGAACTGTATGAAACGGGCTTTGGTGATCCCAACAATCCCAAAATCTTCATCACCTAAGAATTTTGCATGGGCTTGGTTTCAACCACATGCCTTGTGTCCATATGAGCTTGGTATATCGTTTGGCATAGGCAGGGCCGGCCTTGGGGGTAAGCGAGAAGGGCCTTGGCCATGGGCCTCCAATTAAGGAGGGCCCAAATATATATATATATATATATATATCCAACTTTAAATAAATAAATAAATAAAATTTTAAAACAAAGAAGTCAGCGTTGTAATTAAACGAGGAAGGCTATTCCTCTTCCCATCCAGAAGCTCTTCGTTTCCTACACAGCTTGCAACAGCCCCTCTCTTAGTTCTTTCTATTTCTTAATAATCCACCACTATATTTTTCTCTGTTTTCCCCATCTCCCTTCAACCCATATCCATTATTTTCAGTTTCTTCCATCTCTCTTTTCTCATATCATTTTGTAACCCTAAGAATCAATCTCACACTAAAAAGCTCACAGATTGTCTTTGAGATTGATGGTGACCAAGAGGGGAGGAGCATGAGAAATTGAAAAGGTAATCAGATTTATAATTTCTTTTTATATTTGTTCCTACCCAGCAAACTATTGTTTCAATTTCCAATAGGAACAAAACACAGAGAGATACAGAGTGGTAATCAGACTTATGAATACTTGATTGAATTGCATGTATCTTATCATTGCATATGTACATGAATCAGGTGGAGGTACGGAGACCACAAAGAGGATTTTGCTAAACTCATGTGATGAAGCCTGAAGCCAATCTTAAGGGAAAGGGTTTAGTATTTTGAACAAATACTTAGTTTTAATGTATCTTGCATGTTCCCATAATTGGTTGCTGGAATGTTGGTTTATAAATTTGTAATTTCCTTCATGATATTAAATATCTAATCTGATTTTTATTTTTTTATTTTTTATGGAGATATGTCCTATTATAATGCATGCTACTTTTTTAATTCACACGTTACGCTTTACATAAAATCATTTTATTTGTTGTTTTTTCGCAATTATATACTAAGGGAAAAGGCCTCATTTAGTTTATCGTCTAGGGCCGGGCCTGGGCATAGGGAACAACTACTTTGATTTCATAAGAGTGTTTTCCATGCTTGGGCGTTTGTTGCAGTGGACCATAAAATTTTTGGGTATCAACAATAATGAACTATCATAATTTTTCCCATCTTCTTGTTCTTGTACATATGTGATCTCCATTTTCCAACAAAGGCATTGATCAGTTACAAAACAATCAATCGACACAAAAAGATAAAGTAGGAAAAGTACTTTTGAAAAGTAAAATCTTCAACCCAATCAATCTAGCTTGTACCTCAATGAAAGAACATTATTTGACAAATATAAAGCATGCCACTCATGAACATTTGGTATATATATTGTGAAATGTAAAAGTAAAAACAGAAAGAAATCTCAAACAAAAGGCTTGTGGAAACAATTAGATTTTGACTCCACTATAACCAATCAACTTGGTGAAGGCATAAGTAATGGCCATGGACATCCACCCTCCAAGCAACATCCTACTACAAGACCTTGCCGCAGAAGTTTTGCCTAAAACTGCCCCGGCACCATCAAAAACCACCAATGACAAACTAGACGCTGCAACCACCACAATAACCCTCACCTTGTAATCGGTGATGAACGCAGCTGCCAATAGTGGGACTAATCCACCCACCGAAAATGAAAACGCAGACGCCACGCTGGCTTGAAATGGACTCAGCAGCTTCTCTTTCGCTTACGCAGTTTCTTTTTCGTTGGTAATGTTATTGTTTCCTCTCTTAATTTGAGCCGTCTCTACGTCAAGTTGAGTGTACACAGCCACAAACTCTCCTATTGCCATGCTGCATGCCCTAGCAACTAAGTCGGCGAATCCAGCAAGCAGCATGGCTTTGATGTATCTTTTGACTGCCCCTACGCCCATCATCAACGAAGCAATAGGGACCAATCTATCGTTGGCTCCCAAAATCGTAATGAAGTTTCTACTTGATAAAAATATATATATATATATATATATATATATAAAATGTTCTAGTTATTACAATGAATTGCGGGGGTATCCGTGTGAAGTATGCGTGTAATTTATAAATTTTTTTTAAAAAAATCCTTAACATCATACTGTAGCTGTATTGGTTTAAAATAATATTACAAGTTAAAGAAAAATGGAGACATACAGTGTGTAAAAAGATTACAAATTTATTGTAATCACCTTATCAACCACTAGTTTTCTAAACGAAAAAATAATGCAGTGTGTCAAAGGACCACATATAATGCAGTTGTATGAAAGATGGATATCAAGTCAAACAGGGTTCTAATCAAGGGCCAAAAGCATAAGATATCATTTTTTTGTCGGTTTTGTAATGGGTATTTTGTAACAAAGTGGCCTGGGCAGGTTTTGGGTTTTTTTTTATGAGAAATTGTGTTTGGGTATCTAGTAATATTATTGCAGTGGCAGTTTTTTAAATTGTACAATTTTCGAGGGTTGTTTGTATTGGTAAGTCCATTGAATAGTCCAACTGGGCTGTTTTATAGAATTTGGATTGCATAGGATTTTTCTATATTTTGGTATCTATGTTTGGGCTTAAATGTGAAGCTCTTGTATTATTCGGCCCTGTAAAGAGCTATCTCATATAAATACCTCTAATTTTTTTCTACAATCCATGAGTATTTTATTTTGTGCACAAGTGGTTTGTAATGTTTCATATGTGAAGAAGGTGTGAAGTGTATGTTGCTGCTTATGCTGACACGTGTCTACTATCTACAGAAGTTAATAGTGCACCAGAATGTGACATGTGGGGCTTTGGGACAAGTAGTATTCTCTGCGTGGCTCTCTCATTTGAGTCATCTCCTGACCAAATCATTGAAGTAGATTTCCTACTAAAATTTGTAACGTTGTAATAGATTTGGGTCATCTTACCAAACCACAGCCCAAGAAACGGGATGAACGTCTCTGCACACTGGAGTTTTGGCAAGTGCTGTTGTTTTAACCGGCAGTGGGGTGTTGGTCTAATTCAGGGGTGAGTTAGGTGTGCAAGGCACGTGAGTTGCTACTAGTGTATGTGAATTTGTTAGACAACTGTATAAAGTGTAATAGTGTTGTAGCTTAACAGTGCGTTTAGATGAGGAAATTTAAAAGTACGAAGGATTTCTTAAATGACGGAATTTAAAATGACGAAAATTAGTGTTCTAGAATTTGTAAAATTTCTTGTTTGAGTGACTGAATTAAAACACGGAATTTAACCTTTATTTGTAAAATTAGTGTTCTAGAATTTTTAAAATTTCAAGTTTATTTCCCTCATTGGAATTTTGACAAAAGTCAGAATTTCTATATTGACATGAACCAATTTCCGTGTTTGGATAAAAAAAACATAGAAATTTAGAAATTCCACGTGGGAAAAAATATGGAATTTGGAGATCATAAATCCCAACTTTAAATTCTATCTAAAAGTCGTCATTTCTAAAATTTTAAGAGAGTGAGTTTAAAAAAAGATAACTTTACAAATAAAGGTTAAATTCTGTGTTTTAAATCCATCACCCAAACAAGAAACTTTTCAAATTCTAGAATTTTAATTTCCGTCATTTTAAATTTTGTCATTTATGAAATCCTTTGTACTTTTAAATTTCCTCATCCAAACACACTGTAAAAGATCACAAAGAAAACAAAACACCCATCCATTTATGAACCCTTAGAGCCGTATCTCTCTCTAACCCTAGCAGAGAAACAAAACCCCCCACCTCTTCAGAGTTGCATCTTGGGGGGGAGGTGGTCTGCCCCTCCTCCCCTCCCCACCCCACCCCTCCCCTCCCCTCCCCTCATCTTCCTCATTCTTCCTCCTTGAAACACACTTCTCTCCTTCTCCCCATTTTCCAATTTGGTGGGATGAAGACCATGGGCATGATTTCCCTTATCACCACCATCTTGACCCTGCAGATCCTGCCCCATATTGACCCAAAATTCATGGCTCATCCGGATTCCTTCACATCCCCTTTGATCTGGCCTTATCCTTGATTTGTAGCTGCAAATTTTGAATGCATTTTGGCGCATATTTATTGGAAGGTGTGTAAAGCTCTACCTCGGGTGCTTGCACCACCTCCTTCCAGGTTCTTGGTTATTTTCCTCTTGGTTGTGGAATGGGTTTTCTCATTCTCTTTCTGTTGGCTGCTGTCTTTTGGATGTATTGGTTAGGTTAACTCTGGATCTATTAGTGAATCTCAGGTGGGCTATGTTTTGAGGGATGTTTGGCTTGGTTTGTTGACCTATGAGTGTTTAGTTATTCATGGTGGTGATTGGTGGTTTGCCCATCTACAGTCGTGGAATTTCTCTTTTCTGGTTGTGGCAACTTTGAGTTTCTCTTTGGTTGTGGCAGCTAGGTTTCCTGTGTTTTATTTTATGTGTTTTATGTTTATGTAGTTTTTAGCTCGGGAACATGATCTTCATGATATACTATACTGGTTTTAGCTAAATTTGTTCATGTTTGTTTTCTGTTAGGTTCCAGTTTACTTGTAAGTTTTACTGGGTACGCCTTATATACTGTTTTTGGGCAACCCTCTCAACAATTTCTCTCTGCTTCATCATGGCTTCTTCTTCCTCCATCAAGATTGATGGCTTGCTCAGTATGGTTACCATTCGTCTCAGTGACAACAATTTCTTGAAATGGACTCATCAACTACCCCTCAAAAATCCCCATTTGTTTCCCAATCATACAAATGACGATCTGGATTATCCATATTTTCCTTCATGACTTTGTCCCATTCTAGATGAACCCCTGTCTTCACTCTCACAAAATCAACATCAGGCATTATAAAAATCGATACGCGGTCACCGCCTTCCAAACGGAGCACATCGTTTGACAATTGTCCCTGCCAAAGATAACGGTTTTCAGGTCCGTTTGACAATTGTCTCTGCCAAAGATAACGGTTGTCAGGTCTCCACCAAAACAAACGGTCTTCTGGTCTTCTGTAAGTTCTTATGGAGGCAAATGCTATCTTGGTGTGCAAAGCAGTTCGTTTGGTAAGATTTCTAACGATAATGCAAATAGGAACTTCAACATCTATGAGTTTTCGCCTGTCTGAGTAAACGAAGCATATAGTCAACCCTTTTAAATCACGGCCCATGATTCTTTGAGGAACTTCAACGAAGATGATATAGTCCACATCATTGGCGATTTTGAACCACTCAGGAATATCATAAATTCCATTCAAATAAATTCCACCAAATCCACAAGAAGTCCATCTCTGCACACCAGAAGCAAGACATTCTTATACATGCATGCATATATCATTACATAGGCCGCATCTGCAGCTGTGCCTCTGTGTGTTTGAGAGAGAGAGAGAGGAGAGAGAGAGAGAGAGAGGAGAGAGAGAGAGAGAGAGAGACCTGTAGGATGTTGTTCCTAAAATCAGCAGTGAGATTGGTGCAGCCTTCCATATGAATCCTTGTCATGGAATTTAATGACTTATCCAAGCCTGGAACCTCAGTGAGTTTGAATGAATCACTTAGATACAATTCTCTCATATTCCACATTTTTGAAAAATCTGGAAGTGTTTCCAATTCTGGGCAGTCATTTGCTTTCAGAACATACAAATTGGTTGGTAAATCTGGGATTGCACGTAGTCTTCTGCATGCATTTAAACACAAAACCTTGAGCTTTGAAAGACCAGCGAGACTTGGGATTGCATCCTCAGTTAACCTGCAGCCTGCAAGACATAAATCTATTAAAGAGTTTAAACCATGTAACGGACGGGGTAAAAGATGGAATTTCAAAATTCTCACCAGATAGAGATAAAATTTTCAAATTCTTCAATTTTAATATGGAAGATGGTATTTGTCTTATGGCTGTGTAATCCGCTTTCAGAGTTGTCAATGATACCATGTCCCCTAAGCCATCAGCCAACTTTTCAAAATGTGAACAACGAATAAGTAGAAGAGTTTCAATAGACTTGGATTTATAGAAATTCAGTGGGAGATCCTTTAGCCTTCTGCAGTCTTTAAGATTTACCAAAGAAAGTCTTCCAAGATCCCCGATGGATGAGTGAACCTCAGACAAACTCTCACAGTATTCCAATATCAATTCCTTGAGATTTGGGAGTTTTGAAAAGTCTGGTGATTTTGTTAGCCTACGGGAATGGCTGAGATTAAGGATTTTCAAATTCTCATGCAACTGTTACACAAAAACAAAATTAGAATGGAAATTAAAATCCAAAAGGAAGGTCTCTGATACAGAAATTAAACCAAAATGAAGAGAAGGAGAAGGAAAGAACCAACAACAACTAGGTTGAGATTATTATACCTTGCAATCCTTCCAAACTATTTTGAGTTTGCTATGCTGCAGGTCTAAAGCAACTAGTTTTGGTTGCATAGGAAAGTCATCTGGTATGGACTCTTGAGGAAAATAATGCCAGCACAACCATATTAACTTTTTCGGAAAATCTTTGTACTCTCCAGTGAGCTCTACTCTGCTGAGGAGGAGTAACCTCAGTTTTTTCATGTTGGTAAATGCTTGTGCACGGAATCTAGCCAGTTCCCTGTTAGGCCATCGCATATCTAGAGTAACTCCTTCAATTTCGTCAGTTCCCTGTTAACAAAAGATACCGAGTTAGAAAAATGATTTACAAACATGAAAATCCGTGTATGTATAAACCAAAAGGTACAATTAATAGTATTGGACTATGCTACGCCCTATAGTTTGTGTTCGCAATCAAAGCACATATTTTTGGATGGTTATGCCTAATTGAGCTTTGATCTTAATGGATATAATATAAGAAATGGCAACGGGGTCTAGCAAAGAGAAAAATGGTCTAAACTTGTAGATTAAGGTCTTAGGTTCAAATTCATATAGCACCTTGTTAGTGTGGATGTGTGAGAACCCCCTCTTTTACTTTGATTTAGCGCTTGTACTAAAAAAAAAAATTAAAGAAATGGAAAAGGACATTTTAATTTATTATAGACACGGGATACATATGCTTCTCTTGCATGATGCATTCTAAAACTTTACTTGGAAAGTACTTACAGATTTGTCTCTCAATACATCTGTTACGTCTTCACGTTTTCTCAATCTACTAAATTTTTCAGGGTGACCGCGGGCATTTTCACGAACGATCTCTCTTCCCATGTCTCGAAGCAAATCATGCATCATCAGCTTGTTTTGCTCACTAACAGTTACAAGGCACCGTTCAATGAGGATAGGGATTCCTAGCGTTGCACAAAAGCCACATCCATCTAATATTTGTGTGACATAGTCCTTGTCCATTCCAATAAAGAAACAAGATATATCAAGGAATGTATTTCTGTCTGTACGGTCAGGTAGCCCGTCAAAGCTTATTCTCAGTATTTTTGTAATTGCTTCATGAGGACTTCTTTCCAATCTCTCCAATTGGCTTTCCCATTCTAATGCGGTTCTTTTAATCAAAAAAGACCCTACAACTCGAAGTGCTAATGGCAAGCCTTGACAGTAACGAATTACACGTTTTGAGAGGTCAAGGTATTCTTGATCAGGATAACCTCTTTTGAAGGCATGCCAACTCAAGAGCTCTAGAGCTTCTTCCTCATCCATTTCTTGAGCCATATATGTGCTATCCACTCCAACTTGGTCTAGCAAATGTTGATTTCTTGTTGTTATAACAATTCTACTTCCAGGACCAAACCAATCACGAGCTCCAGCTATTGCTTCTAGTTGGTGTAGATCATCTGCGTCGTCAATTATGACAAGTACTCTTTTACAGCAAAGTCTTTCTTGTATCACAGTGATCCCTACATCAACAGAATCAACGTTCAAAGATACGTTCAAGATATTTTTTAGAAGTTGCTCTTGCAAACCAACTAGACCATTAATGGGTTGGTGTGCAATTACTGCCCTCACGTCTGCAAGGAAACTCCTACCTTCAAAGATACGTTCAACTTTGTTATAAATGGTTTTGGCAAGCGTTGTTTTACCAATGCCGCCCATCCCCAAAATACCAATAATGCGAACAACATCCTTAGAACCTGAATTTTCAATATCAATCATGCGAACAACATTGTTCAGCCGAGAAGTAATTCCAACACAGTGTTCGATGTCTAATTGGTATTTGCTGTACAACTGCTTATTAACCTCCCCAAGAATTTTCTTGATAAACTTTGCTTCATGCCTGGCAATTAAACAAAGAAGCAGAACTACGAATCATTCGATGTGGAACAAACTACAAGGTTAAATTGAATCCCGAACATAATAATTTAGAATTAACATATAATTGACAATTAAGATTGGGATTTACCATCAAATGTTAAATGGATCTTACATTATCTTAGTTAAAACATAGTTAAAACCAAACCAAACCAAACCAAAAAAACAAATACCAAAGTTCAAAGTCAAAAAGAAAGAATGCATAGTTAAAACTTAAAACATAGTTGGGAAAACAAAAACAAAAACAAAAACAAAAACAAAAAGGACAGAAAACATATGGTTGTCAAGTAAGGAGATGATAATCCAAGGAACAAGAAATTAGTAATTACCCATTGTCAGCATTTTTAAGATCTTCCCCACACAAATCTGCAGCTTGAGTGAGAGCATTTCTCCACCGCTGTACCTTATCTTTCTCATGTTTACCTTCACAGATGCCCGCTTCATGTTTCTCAAATGCCTGCACAAACCTACCAGTTTGTTTCCGGACATCTGAAGCATCAACATTATAGAACAATGGAATAACCTGTTGCCCCAATCTTTCTCTACACTCCATGATCTTCACCAGCTCATCAAGACACCAACTGGAATCGGCATACCTCTTGGAGAAGACAATTATGGAGATCATGGACCCGTCGATTGCCTGCTCCAGTTGGGTTTTTATAAATTCCGCTCTTTCTAGCTCGTTGTCGTCAAGAAAGGTGCGGATTCCGGCATCAGATAATGCTTCGTGGAGGTGGCCTGTGAAGCCCTTGCGTGTGTCTTCACCTCTGAAGCTCAAGAACACTTGGTACTTACAACGTTTTGATGAGGATGAAGAGGAGGCATCCATTAATTGATACAAATTATGCACAAGTTGGCCTTCCGATCCGACTTGAGCAGAAGTTATTTCATAATTAATTATTTTTTACTGGGGAGTGGTTTGGCCTTGACCAGCAGATGAATATGTCATTGAATGTTTCAGTCAACAGAAGCAAAAGTGGAAGATCAGTGTGAACAGAGGGTAATTTTCTGGAAGCAACCAAAACTACACGATCTGCTGGACGGCTAAGATTGAAGGTCAGGAAAATGCAAGGAAGCTTAGGGTAAAGAGGCATGAAAAGAGAGGGAAGAGACGAGCACAACGTCCAATCAAAAAATTTTAAAAAAAAAAAGAAGTAAAAAACAGTCTTGTTTGAGTTTGTTTTACAAAATTCCTTTTTATTGATTGTTTGTATAAAAATTGATGATTTCATTTATAAAAAGAACTTATATGAATGACAAAATTAACCTCAATGAAGTATATGCAATCTAATCTCAAAGGTCAACTTTATCAATTGGAGAATTTTTTTGTACATACGTTTTACACACACACACATATATATATATATATATATCTATATTTCTCACCAAAATGAGACTTAGCTAGGTTTATGATTTGATCAATAATGTATTTAATAAATATGGGACAACAATATGTACTCAATAGTTAATGATTGAGAAGCTTCTAAGAACTTTCAATTCTTTCCTTCCTTATTGATTAAAAAATATCCGATAGTTATGTTCGTTTTTCAAAAATAACTTAGTTATGTGTTATATGAGAAAAAATGTATACAACTTAGTAAAAAAAAAATTTAATTAAGTGTAACATCACGTGATATAATCAATTCACTTATATTATAACACGTATATACAGTAACACTTCAAATAATAACATCCCCTAACAGTTTCGTAATACCACTCAATAATTTCTTGTATATTACTGTAGAATTTTCTCTTTTCTTCCATTGTCCATGACAGGTGTTAGAAGTTGACTTGAGCTTATGTTGCATAGAAATTTGATGCTAAATGAGAAATTAGCATACCAAGCGCTGGCTTACAACAATAGACAACTTTTATAATTGGGTTATCTACTGTAGACGTTCTTAAACTTGGCCCTCATTTACAATTGGGTCCGTGAACTTTTTTTTTATAGGCAATTACATCCACTAACTCGATAAATAGTTCCAATTGGGTCTTGTCATTCAGCTCTGTCAATTTGTCCATCAAAATGAGGGATAAAAGCGTCCTTTTGAAAATGGATTGAACAGAACCATAATCCAAAAACAAAATCATATGGAAAATTTTTCCCAAATATTGATCAAAGAAACGAAACACCTAAAACCCATACGAAAATCCTGATCTAATCACAAACACCAACAAAATGCAGTTCACAAATTTATCAGTTTAACAAACAACAAACAAAAGGAGAATTTTTCAAAAGCTTTCGAGACATGAACATCTAAAAAGAACTAGAGCAAAATCAGAGAAATAAAATCACAACGGAGCTGGCCATCGTGAGCTCGGTGGTGAAGCTGGAGTCGCAGCACCTAGCGTAGATAGTGAAGCAGGTGCAGAAGCTGACGGCGTTGGATTTGGCCACGTCTACCAACGCCGTGGTGTAGATGGCGGTTGCGGTGGCGTTCATTATGGCGCCAAGGGCGCCGCCGCTGTTACGGTGGCAGCGCAGGAGGAGAGCTTGAGGGGATGGGGTTGAGGGTGGGTTCTGGGTTCTGGGTTTTGCAGGTTGGGAGATGGGGGGTGGGTTGCAGGTTGGGTTGGGATCTGGGTTTTGAGGGAGTGGGCTATGTTAAGAAGGTCAATGATTTCCTAATGTTCACAGGATGGATTAGGAAACAAATATGTAATTATGTGCTGTAGAATATTTCTTTTCCTATTGTAATTTAGATTCCTAAAATAGCTTAGCATCATTATAGGAAATCTCTTGTATAAAGTTACACCCTTTAACTCAATGAAAATCATTCAGGCAAATATCTTTCTTCCCTTTTTTACATGGTATCAGAGCAGGAAGACAAACCCTAGCTCTCTCTTTTTTGCCTTCTCAATTTTTCTTTTCTTTGCCATTGCTTCTCATCATGGAGCGCGAGCAATTTCTCTCTAATCTCCAGTTTCAACAGATATTATCTATTATTAACAATAAAAGGGCAAATCAATCCTCCAATCCTAAGGCCAATGCTGCTGGTACTTCTTCAAGTTTGTCACAAGCACCGTTGCGCCTCCGTCGATTAATCCTCGATAGTGGTGCAACCGATCATATTACTTCTTCTCCAAATTTGCTTGTCAACAGTCATCAGAACACTATTTTACCGCCAGTTATTATGCCCAGTGGAGAACAGGCTCCAATCACATCTACTGGAACTTTACCTTTGAACTCTGTTATTTCTCTGAAAAATGTGCTTGGTGTGCCATCTTTCAAGGTGGATTTGATGTTTGTGAGTCAAATTACAAGAAGTCTCAATTGTTCTGTAACCTTTTTTCCCTCTTGGTGTATTTTGCAGGACTTGACGACGAAGACGACGATTGGTTTGGGTAAACAACAAGACGGACTTTATTACTTGGTCGCATTGGCGTCAACAACACCGAGTCCTAAATTCAGATCCTCCGCTGCCATTGCTAGCCATCCATCTTGTTCTCATGTCACCTCCTCCACTGACTTGTGGCACCGCCGATTAGGGCATCTGTCTTCCTCTAGATTAGATTTTATGGCAAAAAATTTGCTCAATTTTCCTTTCAAATCCAATAATCCTTGTGATGTTTGTGCACTTGCAAAACAATGTCGACTTCCTTTTTCTGCTAGTTCAATTTCGTCTGTTAGACCGTTTGAGTTAATTCACTGTGATATTTGGGGCCCCTACAAAATTCCTTCTTTTTCTGGTGCTAAATATTTTTTGACAATTGTGGATGATTATTCTCGTTTCACATGGGTATTCTTTATGCAGCACAAAAGTGAAACACAACATTTACTTACAAATTTTTTCTCCTTTGTCAAAACTCAATTTGCTGCATCCATTGCTAATATTTGAGTTGATAATGGGGGGGAATTCTCTTCTATGAAAGCTTTTTTTTCAACAAAATGGCATTACTTACCAACACTCTTGTGTCTATACACCCCAACAAAATGGGGTTGTAGAGCGCAAACATCGTCATATCCTTGAGTCAGCCCATGCCCTTCGCTTTCAAGCCCATTTCCCTTTGCGTTTTTGGGCAGAATGTGTTCTCACCGCTGTACATTTGATTAATCGTTTGCCCACACCACTTCTTTCCCAACAAACTCCTTTTGAACGCCTTTATGGCAAGACCCCTTCCTATTCCCATCTTAAGGTTGTCGGGTGTCTTGCCTATGCTACTAATGTGCATGTCCCTCATAAGTTCGCTCCTAGAGCCAAACGTTGTGTTTTCCTTGGTTACTCGGTCGGTCAAAAAGCCTACAAGCTCTATGACCTTACCACTCATAAATTTTTCACTAGTCGTGACATTGTTTTTCATAAAACTATTTTTCCCTATGTGTCCCTTCCATCCATTCCAACACCTCTAGCCCCCGTCCTTCCTCATTTTGTGTCTGACCCTCCTATTTCTGACTCATTCCCCACGACCTCCACAACACTATTATAACCGGTCCATCCCGTCCCTCCCTTAGCAATGACCCAGCCCGATTCTCCTTCTGCGTCTTCGCATCCAGCCACCTCCACTTTTGATCAACTCATTCCTATCAGCGTCGTTCAGCCCCCTCCCGTCCCTCCATTAGAAATGACCCAGCCAGCTTCTCCTTCTGCGTCTCCGCATCCAGCCACCTCTACTTTTGATCAACCCATTCCTGCCAGCGTTGTTCAGCCCCCTCCCGTACCAGTTTTACGACGTTCTCAACGACATCACAGTCCTCCACATGCTTTACGTGATTATGTTTGCAACCAAGTAACGTCTCCCAAACCGTCGCCGTCTTCTTCGTCTGGTTCCACCAAAGGTACAAGGTATCCTCTTTGTAACTTTCTCTTTTACCATCGTTACTCACCACAACATCATTCTTTTGTTGCTACTATTAGTCAGGATGTTGAGCCCAGCTCTTATACAGAAGCAGCTTCCCATTCACACTGGCAGGACGCCATGCAATCTGAATTGGCAGCTTTATAGGCCAATCACACTTGGTCTCTCACTCCCCTCCCTCATGGCAAGAAACCCATTGGCTGTCGCTGGGTTTATAAAATCAAACGTCACTCAAATGGCACCATAGAGCGTTATAAAGCTCGTTTGGTGGCCAAGGGTTACACACAGTTGGAAGGTATCGATTATCATGACACTTTTTCTCCCACTGCTAAAATGATTACTGTTCGTTGTTTATTGGCTCTGGCAGCTGCTCAGGATTGGTCCCTTCACCAATTAGATGTCAACAATGCTTTCCTTCATGGTGATCTCCATGAAGAAATTTATATGTCTCCACCTCCTGGTCTTCAGCGACAGGGGGAGAACTTGGTGTGTCGCCTCAACAAGTCGTTGTATGGTTTAAAGCAAGCTTCTCGTCAATGGTTTGCCAAGTTCTCAACAGCTGTTCAAGTTGCCGGATATGTTCAGTCCAAAGCGGACTACTCGTTATTCACATGTCGGAATGGAAAGTCCTTTACCGCTCTGTTGATATATGTTGACGATATTCTTATTACGGGTAATGATCTCAAGGCTATATCCACTCTTAAGCAATTTTTTCATAGTCGTTTCCGAATTAAAGATTTGGGGGATTTGAAATATTTTCTGGGCATTGAAGTCTCTCGATCAAAGAGAGGTATTTCTATTTCATAGCGGAAATACACTTTGGAAATTTTGAAGGATGGTGGAATTTTGGGTGCTAAACCTATGAACTTTCCCATGGAGCAAAACATAAAGCTCTCTGATACAGGTGAATTGCTTAGAGATCCATCTCAATATAGGCGACTTGTGGGACGCCTAATTTATTTAACTATTACTCGGCCCGATATCATGTATTCGGTACATGTATTAAGCCGATTCATGCATGCACCACGTAGACCACATATGGAAGCTGCCTTGCGTGTGTTGCGTTATTTGAAAAGTGCTCCAGGACAGGGTTTGTTTTTCTCTTCTCAAAATGATTTATCTCTGCGAGCTTTTTGTGACTCGGATTGGGCTGGTTGTCCAATGACTCGTAGATCCACTACGGGTTATTGTGTTTTTTAGGATCTTCACTTGTTTCTTGGCGAACAAAGAGGCAGAAAACAGTGTCACTCTCTTTAGCAGAAGCCGAATATAGAGCCATGACAGGTACATGCTGTGAGTTGTCTTGGTTACGTTCATTATTGAAGGATTTACGAATATTGCATATGAAACCGGCATTGCTACATTGTGATAACAAAGCAGCCTTACATATAGCAGCCAATCCCGTTTTCCATGAGAGAACCAGGCATATAGAAATGGACTGCCACTTTATTCGGGACAAAATACAGGATGGTTCGATTGTAACCAAGTTTGTTACTTCGGCAAATCAACTTGCGGATGTATTCACTAAACCGTTGGGAAAGGAACCCTTTTCTACCATGATTCGCAAGTTGGGAGTTCTCGACATTCACTCTCCAACTTGAGGGGGAGTGTTAAGAAGGTCAATGATTTCCCAATGTTCACAGGATGGATTAGGAAACAAATATGTAATTATGTGCTGTAGAATATTTCTTTTCCTATTGTAATTTAGATTCCTAGAATAGCTTAGCATCATTAGAGGAAATCTCTTGTATAAAGTTACACCCTCTGACTCAATGAAAATCATTCAGGCAAATATCTTTCTTCCCTTTTTTACAGGCTAAGGAGGAGGGGAAATGGGTTGCTGGAGAGAGGGAGAGACAGAGAGGGAGAGCTGAGAGAGAGAGGGAGAGCTTAAAGATAAACTCACGTACCTTCGGGAATGATTCACCTCCTCCATTCCAGCCATACGACTATTTGGAATAGTGGTATAGATGCTTTGCTTGAGGACTCAAAGGAGAACTGTGTTTGCTTCTTGTCTAGCTAAGCTAAATTCAAAAGTCAATGCCAACCGTAATTTTTTTTTCTTCAGTTTTTTCAGTTTTTTCTTTTCAATTTTACAAACTGTAAATAGAGCCAAGTAAATCCTATGTGGTTTCTACCAATCACAAACTATTTGATATGGATTTGTATTGTAAACTTGTGAAGATGAAGGTGGGGTTGTTAGGGTTGATGATGGATGAAGAATGTGGAGTTGGGGTCAATGATGGATGAAGAACCCGAAAGGATGTTTTTACCCTCTCACTTTGACAGATAAATTGACAGAATTGGATAGCAGGACTCAATTGGAACTATTTATCGAGTTAACGGATGTAATTGCCTAAAAAAAAAAGTTCACGGACCCAATTGCAAATGGGGGCCAAGTTCAAGGACGTCTACAGTAAATAACCCTTTATAATTTACTGAGGTTTTAAATATACACCAAAATGTTGTATTTTGCCTCTTGCATTATTTAAAGTGTTAACATAAAATATGATCTTGAATTGAAAGGAATCAATATGGTGGTTGGCCTTGTACTAGCATAATATTCATGATGCCTTTCTTTGTTTTATTAATTTATTTTTTAATTTGGTTTGAATGCCATGACTTTTCTTTAGATGAATTTTCTGGTAAATTTGCAAAAATTAAAATTAAAAATTGAAAAAATGGTATATACGTGTTTACTGATCAAACACTCCTTAGTGCACTAGCTGCATGGTAACTTTTTCTATGTTGATCCACTCTCGTAGTACGATGGAGCAATGTGCATAAAATATGATATTGAGTTGAAAAAAAATCCAATAACACAACTGGTATTTTGATCAACAAAAAGAAGGTAGCTAGCTTCAAATATAGTTTTAACCAGTCCCCGTCATTATCAAACATGCATATGTCAAATGACATCAAAGTTATATAAGTGGTACTAAAAAAATCAAATTGTAGGCTAACTTCTCTAGCAAGGGAATGACCATCATATTTTTTAAATATTATTTCTTTTTCTTCCTGGAAAATGTGTAGTTTCATAAACTTCTTTATAGCAAGGGAATGACTTTTGCTCATAAGCGCTTTTGCGTTTGATCCTCCAAGTAATTAATAAAAGATTATTTTAAATACTACTCATTGAAGGGGTGGCAGAAATTTTCATCATCTCACTAAAACATTAATTTGAAAAGAAAAATAAAACATATTGAATTTAAGAAATTCATTCACCCCTATAGTCAACAACTCAATAAGGAAATGAACCGTTGAATTCTGTTTAATTGAAGTTGAAGTGAGAAGATTTGGGGGAATTGAGAGAAAATGAGGGAAGAAATTTAGAGGATCCAGCTGCTTTCCCAACACCAATCATTTTCGTGGCCCCAAGAGCGTTGAAATGGTCAAAGGGTGATGAGAAACAGACAAGCTAAGAATTCCTGAGGAGACCAACCCCCCACAAAAAGAAAAAACAAAGGATTAATTTCTGCATTACAAGAATTCCTGAGACAGGCAATCATCATGTGACACGTGGCTCCATTGCTCCCATTGAATTTGCACATTTTTTGGCTACAATGCCGCGCCAATGCATGGTTGCATTCAAAGGCGTAAACCCTTAGATTTTGAGCAACAAGGAAGGAAGTAGGGATCGACAGAGGAGAAGAACAAGGAAAACAAAAACACAAAAATACAAACAAAAAAACGAAAAAAAGAGGAGAAGAGAAGCGAAAAGGCGAAGCTGTCTTTCTTCTCTTCTTTTCTTTTCTTAATATAAAATCTTTCTTTGTTCTCCTCCATCTTAACATCACAAAATAAGTGAAGTTACTATAAATTTTTAATAAGGCGGTCCCTTTTAATTCCAACATTTGCTGCTGCTGGGTGTCAATCATGACTTCGAGCAAGTTTAGAAGAGCCTTGGGGGCAGTGAAGGACCAGACGAGTATAGGCCTAGCTAAAGTTGGTAGCAGCACATCTCTGGCGGACCTAGACGTGGCCATTGTGAAAGCATCGAGGCACGAAGAGTATCCGACAGAGGAGAAATACATACGAGAGATTCTGAGCTTGACATGCTACTCGCGCGCCTACATCAGCGCCTGCGTCAACACCATCTCCAGGCGCCTCAACAAGACCAAGAACTGGATCGTTGCCCTCAAAACCTTAATGTTGGTCCAACGGCTGCTGTCCGAGGGCGACCCGGCTTATGAACAGGAAATATTTTTCTCCACAAGGCGTGGCACTCGCTTCCTCAACATGTCCGATTTTCGGGACGCTTCCACGTCCAATTCGTGGGACTACTCTGCGTTTGTGCGCACGTACGCCTTGTATCTGGATGAGCGGCTTGAGTTCCGAATGCAAAGCCGGCGCGGGAAACGTAGTGCCTTCGGAATCGACGAAGAAGAGGATCCTCAGGAGCCGCCCCATAATTATGCTAACCAGCAGTCATGTCCCAGAGCCACGCCTGTGCATGAGATGAAAGCTGAGAAGCTTTTTTCTAGGATGCAGCATGTGCAGCAGCTCCTTGAGCGCTTCTTAGCATGTCGCCCAACAGGTTTCATCCAATCCATTTACCATTTACCATTTACCATATCCATAACGCACGCACCTGCATGCAAACGTTTCATCCATGCATGCATGGCTGCGCTCGTGCATTATCTGTTCAATCAAATCAATAATGTTAAGGTGACAACATCATTTCTATAAGAAAATCATCTGCCACATCATATTATCAATTAATTACATAGTTTGTCTAGAAGGAAATACATTATAGGTCAATCTTTGGTACTTGGTACATTGTCGATATTTTGTCAATAGTCTTTTGATATTAGGTAACGTTGATAAAATATTGACAAGACATTAGATATTAGGTACTGTAGATTAGTACTCGATACCAGTCAACCACTCTATTCTATAATTACTCTCTTCTTTTCTTGTTTCGGAGAGCATTACTCTTTTCTTTCATGAACAATTAATATCATAATTCATCGTTTCTAACATTTTTGTTGCTTTTATGTGCATCCAAATTGGAACGTACGTACAACAGGTGAAGCAAAGACCAACAGGGTAGTAATAGTGGCGCTGTTCCCAATAGTGAAAGAAAGCTTCCAGATATATTATGACATAACAGAAATAATGGGCGTCTTAATCGATCGCTTCATGGAGCTGGAGATCCACGACTGTGCCAAGGTGTTCGAGATATTCTGCCGCATCGGAAAGCAGTTTGATGAGCTGGACACATTCTACAGCTGGTGCAAAACCATTGGCATTGCTCGCTCCTCAGAGTATCCCGAGGTTGAGAAGATTACACCCAAGAAACTGGAGGTGATGGAGGAGTACATACGCGACAAGTCAGCCTTGGCGCAGGGCAGGAAGTCGGTCAAGGCGCTGCTGGAGCAACAGAAGATTGAGGAGATAGATCAAGAAACTAATCGGGACGACGCCGAAGAAGAAGAAGATATGAATGCCATGAAGGCCTTGCCACCACCTGAAAGTTTTGTTGAGGAAAGCAATAACAAGGAAATTGAGCCAGTAAAGGAAGAAGAAACTAAGAAACCGCAACAAGAAGAAGGGGACCTGTTGAACTTGGGAGACGACGCTGTGTCGAGTGAAGAGCATGCTGACAAATTGGCGTTGGCTTTGTTCAATGGCGCTACTGCAGAGGCAAAAACACGCCTTCCAGCATGGGAAGCCTTTGCTGATGAAGCTGATTGGGAGACGGCGTTGGTCCAGTCGGCCAGCCACTTGTCCCATCAGAAGGCGTCCCTCGGAGGCGGCTTTGACGTTTTGTTGTTGGATGGAATGTACCAGCAAGCTGAGATATCAGCTGCGATGGCTGGCCCAGGATCTGGAGTGAGTGGAAGTGCGAGTAGTGTTGCATTGGGGTCAGCAGGACGGCCTGCAATGCTAGCATTGCCTGCACCACCATCATCATCAGATCATCATGAGTCTAGTAAATCAAACGTACACGTGGACCCGTTTGCTGCCTCGCTGGTGGTGCCACCGCCTTCATACGTGCAAATGTCGGACCTGGAGAAGAAGCAGAAGCTGTTGGTGGAAGAACAGTTCATGTGGCAGCAGTATGCAAGAGATGGGATGCAAGGGCAGCTTGGATTGACAAAGCTACAACATAATCCTCACAACATCAACATGGGAGGTTACACACACACCTACTGACGATGACTTTAACTTAATTAACACATTGGTTGAGTTGTTAATGGTCATTAATTAGGGTTTAACCAACCTCCATGTGAATTTGGACATATTGTTTTTTCCTCTTATTTAGGTGAGGTTCAGTTCGGTAGCATTTTATGCTGGTAGGGCAAGTGAAATATGCAAAGGATTAAGGTAATCCATGTATCATCGAAGTATGAAAAGGGTACTAAATGATCCACATTTATATTTATATGCATATGCATATATAGATGGCCCTCTTGGCAACCATCGTTTTGAAAGCTATCCTTGGAAACTAGAATGATTGTTTTCTGCACTCACATCGGTCCCCAATACACATGTATACAAAACACAAGTACAAGCAGACATCTTAAGGCAACCGGCGAAGGGAGAAACTTGCCAACCACCTGTGTTACCAAAACACAAGATCAAGGTCACCAAAATATGTTGACATTATGAATTCCACATCGGAAATTAAATAGTCCAACTTGAAGCATTGTGTAATAGTTTAACAAAAACGAAGCTATCTGAGCAAATAATGAGATTCAAACAAACTGGCCCTGTCCTCTTTTAATATCAATATTTCATGAAATTTTTAACCAACATTGAAAACCAAGCAAACCACCAACTGGAACATAAATGAAACAAAATTTGTTGGATGAACATACAATGAGGAAGGTTAATCAGCATAAACATCATTTCGAATTGGGGCCAAGATTTCCAATTTTTTTCATGTAATTTCAAATACAAGGGGTTTGAAGGGGTCAGACAATTTGTAAAAGAAACTAATTATGAATACAGATGCT